CTATTTAAATCCCTATTATTCGAAATTCCTGAAATTTTTTAAAAAAATTCAACGAGTTCAACGAGAAATTTACCATTTTACCATTCTTTTTTTTAAGTGGCGAAAAATTCAACCTTTTTTTGACAATTAAAAACATTTTATATGAAAACGAAAATGTCTTTATACTAAGAGTGGCGTAACTTTAAGTAAAGTTTTATAAAATTATTGGTCTAAATTTTATTTTATTTTATTTTTTATTTTATTTTGTCTTCAGCCCACCAAAATATTTCTCGTTGTGCTCAAACCTCTCAACTTTTTTTTATAATAATATATATACATGTAGGTAAAATTCTCGATGTAAGTAAAAATTATGTAAAATTATGTAAATTATTTTTTAAAGTTTAAGTTTAATGAGTTCAAATGAATATTCATTATGGTTATTATAGTTAATTTTTAATGGTTAATTTAATAATTTAACAAGATCTATCTGGATGAGGACATGAGGTAACAGGTAAATGAGGGAATATCATATTATATATACTAAGTCTCTTATACACATCTAGATGTGTATAAGAGACAGCCATAAACCTGGCTGTTATCCGCTTACCAAATTTTCAAAAGATTTAAAATTATAAAGTAAACAAATGCGTTGTATCACACAAAACGAAAAAAAAATGCAACGTAATAGAAAGTTTAGAGATGAACCATTTTTTTCACCTTTTTTAATAATAAAATGGGCTGAACAGAGTTTAGTTTAAAAATAAATAATTTTAATTTTCTCCAACCCAGTAAGCGGTTGGGCGGTATTTCGGTATTGAAGCTGATTGATCACTCATGCAAGAGGATAATCAAGAAATTTTTGATCGCAAAAAAGAGTATCGCAATTAAATTATTGGTGAAAGATTTACTGCGTAATATAAAAAGACAATAAAAGGAAAAAAAGGCAATTAAAAAATTTATAATTATTACATAAATTACTCACATAACTTTTTGAATACTACATGTAAACGATCTCAAGGAGAATACTGGTTAAATTACTTTACTTGGGAAACAAAACTACTAAATAAATGTTAATTTATGTATGGTAAATCAAATTTCTTTATTAATATTTATAGACAATTTGTTGACAATTTTAACCGTTTTAGCGAATAATTTGATTTATAATTGATAATATTAATAATGATCATATTAATGAATGACCAAATAATAAGTTTCATCTTTTTTTTTTTTATTTTATTATGTATACGCATACACATTATACGTTATTTAGTTATACATTATACGTTATATACGCATACACATTATACACATTATACGTTTTATAGCATACACATTATATTCATATTATACTTTTTAAATATTTCATATTATGTATTAAATGATGTCAGATATGTCATGTCAAGTCTCGGAAAAAGGATGGAATTTTATGTAATTAAAAAGGATTAATCATTTTCGGAATTTAATATGATCATGTGGGACAAATTATGGGATGTTCAAACAAAAGGTTTTGGGTAAAGTTTGGGTAAGGTCACAAGACAAGTATATTATAATATACAGTAATATATATTAATATATTAATATATTATATATTATATATATATATATATATATATTATACATTATATTATTATTATTATTTTTTTTATTATTATTATTATTATTATTATGATTTATGAATTAACTTCAACTTCAACATCTTGAATATCCTCCATGGGATATTTTTTAGGAGGCGGTAATAAAGGGGGAGGTGGTATTATAGGAAAAGTTGAAGCATTAGTATAATTTGACTCTATAGTTTTAATGGAAGATATTGATGTGGATGTTTTGTGTCTAAATATTTCAATTTGTTGCTTCTGTTCTTCCAATAAACTATTTATAGATTTTTCGACACTTTTATTATATATTGACGAATTTGCTATTGATTTTGTCGGTGATGACGGTTGAGCAAAAGTAGCAGTCGTCGGTGTATTTAAATTAATTATNTTTTTTAAAAAAAAAAAGTGAGGAAAAAAAAAACTTGAAACTTATCAGGTTAAAATGTCAAAAGATTATTATTATTATCAATAATATTCATACATCATCATCTAGAAAAAAAAAAATTTCTTTTTTCAAAATAATAATAATAATAATAATAATAATAATAATAATAATAATAATAATAATAAAAGATAAATAAATAAAAGATAAATAAAAGATAAATAAATAAAAAAATAAATAAATAAATAAAAAAACAAAAACTTTAAAAAGAACAATGTACTATTTAAATCCCTATTATTCGAAATTCCTGAAATTTTTTAAAAAAATTCAACGAGTTCAACGAGAAATTTACCATTTTACCATTCTTTTTTTTAAGTGGCGAAAAATTCAACCTTTTTTTGACAATTAAAAACATTTTATATGAAAACGAAAATGTCTTTATACTAAGAGTGGCGTAACTTTAAGTAAAGTTTTATAAAATTATTGGTCTAAATTTTATTTTATTTTATTTTTTATTTTATTTTGTCTTCAGCCCACCAAAATATTTCTCGTTGTGCTCAAACCTCTCAACTTTTTTTTATAATAATATATATACATGTAGGTAAAATTCTCGATGTAAGTAAAAATTATGTAAAATTATGTAAATTATTTTTTAAAGTTTAAGTTTAATGAGTTCAAATGAATATTCATTATGGTTATTATAGTTAATTTTTAATGGTTAATTTAATAATTTAACAAGATCTATCTGGATGAGGACATGAGGTAACAGGTAAATGAGGGAATATCATATTATATATACTAATATATATATATATATATTATTATTATTATTATATCGGAAATTCGGGAATGTACTGTAGGTAAAGCAGGTACATACGGACAATATTTTTTTATATGATCTCGAATGACAAATTATTTTTTTTTTATTGGTTGAAAAACTCACGTGATATAAATAATAAATAATTACGCCCATCTAAGAAAGATTATGAAATAAAAAAAAAAATGCGCGTTGATTTTTCACTTTTTTACTTTATATGGTCCAAAGATAGCTGTCAAATAAGAATTAGAAGGTAATGTCCACAAATTGCCCAGTGCGCCAAAATTATTATATCACTTTTATAGGTAATTCATTAATTTAATATCTTTATCTAAAAAAATTATTAAATATTTTGACAACCGCAATGTTTAGATGATGATTAAACTTAAATAAATATTTTTATATTTTAAAAAACCAGATTTTTATCTTGTACTCTGATCTCCTTTTTCTACTGGTGTAGTACGAGTAACATATTGTTATACGGAATTGTTTATTTATGGAATCATAAACAATAAAAAAACATTCGGCTTTACTCGGTCCGATAATTTCATTCGATTTTTTTTAACAAGTTAAAATCAATCATTTTTTGAAAAGAAATTCCGTTTCAAAAAATTTTTTACGCCACTTTTCATCTTCGGAGTGTAAATATGGTAAATTGCCATTTAAAGTAGTATTACAATGGTTGTAAAACGTGTTTATGAATAAAATGGAGTTTTTCTTTTTTTGTTATTATTGTTTTTATAATTAAATTACCAATAATATTTTACCACATTTTATTTATTCGTAAAAATATTGGGCGGGAAACTTTTAAGAAAATAGATTAGCGATTCGTTCGATCATCCAATTAAATGTATCACAATCACAAAACAAGATCATCCTCCCCTTTTTTATTATCGGTGGTTGTCTGGATTCGTTATTTTAATAAAATGAATAAACATTGTGAATTTGTGTGCTAATGAGTTTAAAGTGTATGTTAAGTGTATTTTAACTGTGTTAGTATGTTAAGTGTATGTTAAGTGTATGTTAAGTGTATGTTAAGTGTATGTTAAGTGTATGTTAAGTGCATGTTAAGTGTATGTTAACTATTAATATAATATGTTAATACTTAATACTTAATATTTTATCTTATTAATATAATATGTTAACTGTTAATATTTTACCAGTAATAATTTACCTTTACATCTTTATTTAACTCGTGATAATATTCTTTATTTATTCATCCCCTTATTTATTTACTATAATATATCCCTGAAATTTTTATAATCAATTATTTTAAATTTTGTAAATTACATCAAATCATCAATTACATCAATAACAAATTACATCAATTACATCAATTACATCATTTGCATCATTTACAATCATGAATAATGTAAAGTTATTACCTAAACGATTATTCATCAATTTTGCCACGTTGTTTTAATTGGTGCTCCTATTGTTGCATCACCATCTAAAAAAGGGGTTAGACAATAAAAAAAAATATTAAGGGGTTTTATTGTACCTTTTGAGTTACTTAATGTGAAAAATAATATAATTAATATTAACTGTTTAAATAACCGAAAAAAAAAAAAAAATATCTTGATTAATTTCATGTTTTATCATTTTTTTCTAACGTTTTAAAAAAAAAAAACCTATTACTTGAATGAAACTCAATTATTTATGTGTTATGCTTTGTAACACTTGAAACAAATTTTTTTTAAAAATGTTGCAGTTTTGCTTATTTTAAAATGAAATCAAATTTTTTGTTGTATATTAAAATTCCGAGATTTTTTTTATTCTAAACTACAAATGGTAATTAACAATTAATAAAGAGATCTGTTTCATTTATAATACTATAAAATTAATTTTTATATTACTATTATTTCTAGCGGAATTACTAACCCATTTCAATTAATTATAATGAATGTAAAAATTTATTGGCTTGGACTTTCCCGTATAATTCCCGTATAAATTCTCGTGTAAATTCTCGTATAATTCTAGTATAATCCCCGTATAATTCTCGTATATTCCCCGTGTAATTTTCCTGTATAATCCGAAACATTTCCAAAAATTTCTTTTTATTAAAAAAAATTCAAGATATTAATCGAGTTTTTTTTTTTCCTTGAAAAAAAAAAATAAAAAAGAAAAACTTTTTTCACAAAGCCACTTTTGTAATATTTATGATTTCTCGTGTCATCTTTTAATCATTACTTATGAAGAAGTTATTAAAAGAACTAAAAATAAACCAAAACTTTTTAATATTACAACAATCAAATACATTGTTCTTTAAAAAAAATACTTGGGGGAAAAACGTGTAAAAATTTATAAGGAATGATAATTGTTTATATTGCTTATCGCTTAGCACATAAACTTAACCTCATATTTTTTTTTTTACCCCGCAAAAAAAATCTCATGACAAAATGGTAATCTTGGTAAATCATCATACAATTTATATACTGTAATAACCTAATTACCACGTGTAGTACTTATGAAAAAATTGCGCGGGCTTTTTTCTTGATGATCGTTCCTTTGATTAGTTCATTTCACAAGTGATTCATATGTAAATCAAATCAATCAAAATCTATTAAACAATTTAAATCATTTTTTTTTACTAAAAAATTTTTTTTTTTTCGAAAAATAAATTTGGCGGGAAATTTTTTTTACAATTAAATAATAATAATTATTTAAAGTAAATTTTTTTTTTTTTTTTTAACAATTAATACAATTTAATTCAATTAATCACAATTATTAAGTAATTTTTAATTTGTAATTTTTCCTGCAACTCTAATATTATTATACAGGTTATTATTATAATTATTATAAAATTTCGGAAAATCCTTAAAAAAACTGCTTTTCAAAAAACGAAAAAAAGGATTTTCTTTTTATTATTAATCCAATATAAACAATACTAATTTTAATTTACTATTTGGTTATATTTTTTTTGATTTTTTATATTTTTGTATTATTATTATTTGATTATTGTGCCTTTGTAAAGTTTAGTAAAAAAAAAAAATTTTTTTTTTTGGCGGGAAAACTAAAAAAATGTGGGAATATCAGATATTTGTAAAAAAAAAAGTAACTAAATGTTATCATTTCATATTTTTCATATGACCAAAACGTCCAACTTGTTCAACTTGTTAATTAACTGTAATTGTAATATGACGTTTTTAGCGTCTTTCATTTTGGCCGGAATTAAGGAAATTTCTCACGTGCAAAATTTGTAAAAGTTGATAACGTGACTTCCGTGATCGAGATGGACGAGTGGCTTATGTTACATAAAAATGATTTTTTTTAAAATTTTTTTTTTTTTCCTTCTCTTCTAATTCACATACTCGAAAGGACATTTTAACTTTTGGGTTTTAAAATTATATCCATCCATCATGGTAAGAAAGTTTTTATTTTATTAGGTTATAAGGTTATAAAGGTTTTTTATTAAGGTTATAATTAGTCTAAAATTACACAATATTTTTTAATTAGTCTGCTAATAAATCCAACGCTAATAAATCCAACAAATCTAATAAATCAAATGAAAAAGATAAAACACCAACCGTTAATGCTATGAGAGAATTAAGCATTGAAAAATTAGTTTTAAATATTTGTGTAGGAGAATCAGGTGATCGTTTGACTAGAGCTGCTAAAGTACTTGAACAACTTACAGGTCAAACTCCTGTATATTCAAAAGCTCGTTATACTGTACGTTCTTTTGGTATTAGACGTAATGAAAAAATTGCTGTACATGTTACTGTACGTGGTCCAAAAGCTGAAGAAATTTTAGAACGTGGTTTAAAAGTTAAAGAATATGAATTAAAAAGAAGTAATTTTTCTGAAACTGGAAATTTTGGTTTTGGTATTCAAGAACATATTGATTTGGGTATAAAATATGATCCTTCTATTGGTATTTATGGTATGGATTTTTATGTGGTATTGGGTAGACCTGGTGCTAGAGTATCTAGAAGAAGAAAATCTCAAAAGAAGATTGGTTTTAATCATCGTGTTACCAAAGATGAAACCATTAAATGGTTTAAACAAAGGGTGAGTATTAAAGAATGTATATATATATATATAATTTTTTTTTAAACCTATATTAATTTTTTTTTTTTTATATTTATTTTAGTTCGATGGTATTGTTCTTAATCGTTAAAGATTATTTTGTTTCAGGAACATCTTTTTATTATTATTATTATTATTTTATTTTAATAATAAAATAACAACCATCATTAGAGAATATCTTAAATCATTGTAATTGTTTTAAATGATAATATGTATAATATGTTGTTTAAATTTACTAGTTCAAAGAGCGCTTAAAATCATTAGCTGTAGTTCAACTCATAACATGGTTTCATGATTCAGTTGATTCGCGTAGCCAACTTATACCATACTATGATTTTCAAAACCCGATTCATGATCACATAGTCCAATTTATAACATGAAACCCGATTCATGATTCAGTTGATTCACGTAGCCTAACTCCTTGGCTTTCAAAATCCGATTCATGATTCATTTGATTCCACGTAGCTCAGCTTATAGCTTTCAAAACCCGATTCATGATCACGTAGTCCAATTTATATCATGGTTCCCAAAACCCGATTCATGATCACATAGTCCAATTTATAACATGGTTTCCAAAACCTGATTCATGATTCAGATGATTCACGTAGCCAACTTATACTATATACTATGACTTTCAAAACCCGATTCATAATCACGTAGCCCAACTTATTACATGGTTTCGTGATTCATACCATACCATGACTTCCAAAACCCAAACCCGATTCATGATTCAGTTGATTTATGTGGCCCAACTTATACCATGACTTTCAAACCTATTTTCTTACTATACATAAATTTCCAATCTCCACAGAAAAATAGATGTATAATAGTATTTTCATGTATATCGATCATTTTATTGATATTTATACAAAGGCACCAACCACGACAATTATTTATCAATATTTTATTATGAAATAAGAAAGTAATTATTATTATTACATGTAAATTAAAAAAAAAACGTAATTATTATTATTATTACATGTAATCAAAAAAAAAAGTAATTACTATTATATGCGTAAATTAATTAATGATTAATCGCTCGTAAAATCATATTAGCAACTTCCATAGGACCATCACCGGTTACAACAATATCAAATTTTTCTAAATATATTTTTAATACTTCATCGTTATCATAATTTAAAAATCCTATATTTAAACAAACATCATGTTTAACTCCACTAGACATTTTAAGATCTCCGATAGAATCTCCAAGTAAAATAACATTTTTTCTATCCTCAATTGTTTTATGATAATATGATTCTTTAATTGCAACTTCAGATTTGTTAAAAATGTGAATCAATGGTTCTGCAAATTCATCACATATTCCTGTCTCCGGATTAAAGATCATTTTATTGGATACAACATGCATGTTGCTATGATAAAGTTTTTCTGCGATTAAAATTTCTTCAATCACATCTTTATGAATTAAAAATTTTTTATTAGTTTTTTTTTTTTTCATAAAAAAAAAAATAAAAACATAACAACAATAATAAATAATAATTACTCTTAACTCCGGCAGAAAACACCAGAAATGGTATTTTTTTCTCATTACATGTTTCGATCAATTCTCTTAAACCTTCCCTTATATCCACAGGAGTTTCAGCTACCATAGCAGCTACATCATCTTTATTGATTTTTTGATCAATTAATAGCTGATGAGCTTGAGTCCACCATTCAATCATATATGGCCATTTTTGTTCTTCTGTTAATTGATTATTAACTTCAATCGGATAATATTTATCAACTAATTCCTTTGTTTTTTTTTTAAACTAATAACAATATTTTTGATTTAATATATTAAAATATATATATAAAATAATTTTCAAAGAGAAATTTATTTTTATTTTACACACTTCATCGGTTAATCGTGAACTTGATGATAATATGAGATGAGAACCGGGACTACGTTCTTTTTTTTGCAAATCATTTATTACTGTTTTTGATTTAGTTGAACCTATAGATAGTTCTTAAATTGATTTTTGAATTTCAGCAAGAATTTTGGATTTAATTTTTTTTTTTTAAAAAAAAGTAATTATCTAATTAACAAGTAAAATATAAATTTATTTTAATAAAAAAGTAATTTACCAGTAATTACATGTAAATCGGCGAAACCAGCTTTTAGTATTGCATCTATTTTTTTCGCAGTAACTTCGGTATTATGAACTTTTGCGATTTTTTGAATAGAAGCCAAAAGTTTGTTTGTATTTGAAGACATTTTTTCTTAGTTTGGTTTTTAATAAAGTATTTAGTATTTTTTTAATGTATTTTAACGTATTTATTATTTAGCGTTAATTCAACGCATTCATGTTCATGACGCGTAATGACAAAAAATTAATCATTTTAACACAATTTAGTTGATTTACAAGTTGCAGGATAATGTTTCACACGTAATAGATTGATGTGATTATAATGAAAATGAATTAACCAGAATCTTTTAAATGTTTCCCCACAAAAGAGTTACAGTTAAACAATATTATTAATGCGTTTATCATATTTGTACTTTCAATACATCATTTACAATTAGTTAAAAAGCACTATCAAAGTTTGTATCAGTCATTTTATTCATTATCAACTACTTTTATTTATTTACAGTATTTTATAGATACACAATATTATTTAGTGTACGTTTAATAATAGATTTGAGCTAGAGAATTTTATTTCTCATTGTCCGTTATCATGCCATCTTTTTTTTGGATCATCATCGGCAATCAAGTCCTCCTTCGGTCGATATCTCATGATATTATAAATTATAATTCTCATTGAGAAATGAGGAGTCATCCGTTATTATGTCATCCCTTTTTTGGACAATCAAACAATCAAAATATCGTGCTTTTTTTTAAAACATTCTCTTTCCTATTTTTCGATAAATCAATTCCGAGATCTCTTACGGACATTATATATTTTAAATTCCCATTGGTAAAGTTAATCCGTTATATTAACCTCCTTTTTTAGATCATTATACTGAAAATCATAAATCATCGACAATCAAGACATTTGTACTCTTTTAAGTCCCCTTCTTATTTTTCTGCGAATCAACTCCGAGATTTCTCACATATATTTACGATTCTTATAAGGAGGAAGTTTAGAATGCTGATAGACCAATATCACATTTATTTTGATGATCCCCCGTTCTCCAAAGCAAAACGTTGATTCAAAAACATTTTGAATCGTATTTCCATTCCTGAGTCAACATCAAAACTTTCTTGGTTCAATCATTCGACATATAGTAAGCAAAGATCGAGAAAAGATGATACTCATCTTGGCTTAATACTGATTTCGGATTAGTTTCACGAAGGGTCATTTATTTATTTATATTCCAAATGTTGTCATATGATGGAAATACCGGCAATTTCAGAGAGAAATTAATAGCAATATTTTATGAAAGATTGGGGTTAATACTGAATTCGGATTAGTTTACGAGGGGTCATTTATTTATATTCCGAGTGTTGTCATATGATGAAATACTGGCAATTTCAGAGAGAAATTAATAGCAATATTTTATGAAAGCTTGGGTTAATACTGAATTCGGATTAGTTTTACGAAGAGTCATTTATTTATATTCCGAATGTTGTTCTGGGAGGATTTCTTTTGCAATTAACGCTAGTGTTATGCAATTTACCACAAGTTAATTGTTCATAATTATCTTTGACAATATTTTATGAAAGCTTGGGTTAATACTGATTCGGATTAATTTTACGAAGGGGTCATTTATTTATACTCCGAATATTGTTATATGATGAAATTCCGGAAATGGCAATTTCGGAGAGAAAGGGATAAAATTTCTTTTACAATCAATTGTTCATAATTATCTTTGACAATATTTTATGAACAACGGATCGATTCCGATAATTCCAACATTTCAAACTTAATGTAACTTACCGTATGTATAGTACTGTAAGACTAGCGGATAAATGAAATACTTGATCAGTCCAATAATCCGATAGAGTTGTTTAAGCATATCATTAGGTAAAGCATCAGTGTATTATAGCAGAAGTTTGTTTATGGTTCTGACAACTTACTGTATCTCTATCTATTTGTATAATCAACAGGAGCCTTGAGCTGCTGCTAGTGCGATATAAGTTTTCCTATAAATCGACTCGACGGCTTAGTTAACTTTTTACTCTTATTAACATTTAGGCTCGTCAACATTGTGTCAAAGTGCTGGGACTACATTATGCGTGACATCTTTAACAAATAAGATAATAAATTATCCTTCTTTGATTTAATGATATTACATTGTTACTTTTTAGTGACGTATTTTATACATCTGTGAATGCATTTATTAACGATCAGGATGTTTATGACTATTATTTATATTAGTAATAAAATTTCCTTATTAAAAAAAAATATTGTTAGCAAATTAAAGTTGAATAATTTTATTGTAAAGATTTTTATCCTAACAGTTAACACTTTAAATTTACTATTATAACCTTTAGACGAAAACCCACTTTTATCATGAGAGATAACAAATTGCATGACGGATTTCTCTTGCATTGGAAGCTACTAATCTATACATATGTTTGTTTGCATTACTCACCTAAAAGTGTTCTATGTTCAAATAATAAACATTGTTCTTTAAAAACGCTTTGCACGCATGGTGGTATATACTATCCATGTGGATCTAATCAATCCAAAATGCCTCAAATGTAAATTGTCGTATAGAAGGAGGGTTTGACACACAAGGTCAAATATGTGTAGTGATAATTGATAAATGCTTTAGACATAGATTTGGTCGATGCCTATATGGTGCGGAAGATGCAGCAAAAGCGACACAATGAAAGTACCTCTAAGAGAACTTAATGAAAGACCATTATGGAAAAGTCGAACTAGTGGAGAAAATATTAGGGTTCCATCTATGGATGACAGATAATACAATTATTATTAATCCCGTAAATATTGTATCAAAAATTAGATATCTGGTTAACTGATATTTGAGTATCTAGCAATTGTCCACTATTATATAAATGAATTGTGTATTATTGTATAATGCAATATGAGAGTTATTAGTAAAGTCACTGGGATGTTGTGGCGCAGTGCAATTCGAAATCTTCATTCCGAGAGATATCCAAATTACAAGTATAAACTAACTAAAACTACTGTATATCCAACTTTATAACAACCTTATCCCATACCTCAACATCAGATTCTACCGCATTTAACTAATTAAACAGACAAGGATATATATATATCATTCAGGTTTGATGGATCCTGTTAGTGATGATATATGATTAAATCACCTGTAAAAGGAATAAATATAATAATGATAAGAAGAAAAGAAATATGTTTTAAAATATGAAATTATAATTTAAAACTTCTGTTTAGTTAAAAAAGGGATGATTTTCTCTGTGTACAATGTACTAGCTTATATATTTATTGTATTTTATATAATTATTATTTTCTTGCCTGATTTATAAAAAAGAATTTGTAAAAAGTCATAAATACTTTGTATTACTTTATAAATTGTTCGTAATATATATTATGTTCAATATAATTTAATTAAAATTGATTCATTGTTTTAAGACTTTGAACAGTGTTCATCATTCACCACGAATTGATCAGATTCGATTCGATTCGATTCGATTCGATTTGGATTGTCTCGATTCGATTAGATTCGGATTCGATTCGATTCCCTCGTTTTAAAAGTTATCATTTTGTATATTGAAATCGAACTATGTAATTTACGTGGTGAGTGGGATCAAGTAGTAGCCATCTGTACCGTTAGAATATAACTTCTATTATTGCATACTTTTTTAACCATAATTTTCAGAACAGACGACATGTTAAATTTTTAGTATTTATTTTTTGTTTCTTTTTTATACAACTAGAAAAAAAAATATAAATAATTAAAAAGATTTTCCAATATTAATAAATTATTTACAATAATTGATTTGCTATTTTTCAATTAGGTTCAAAATATATGGCAGCTAAAGATACTAATTAATGAAGATAATGAAAAGAACCTAATAGTGTTACGTTAAGAAATGAACCGAAATTTGATAATTAAATTTAAGGAAAAGAACAGAGTTTTTTTAAATATAATGTTGTGTGAAGAAAGAGCAAGGCGAGAAACGATGTTAAATGGAGTTTATAATATTTTTTAAATGTAATGTTGAATTTTTTAATACCGAGAAAAGTACGTGTGATACAAATCTGGCGGGCTGAAAAATTTAAATGTCTACACAATTTACACGCATATGGTTTCATGTCATAGCCAAGAAAAATAAATTTTGTTTTTCGAGTGATGTTACATAGTGTTACATTATTAAAAGCGATTTCAAATTCCGTCTTTACTTTTTTGGACGCAATTTTAATAATCTATTTGTTTATTTGATCGGTTCAAAGATTTTTACTTTTGCGAATGTAGTTTTTAAAACTGTTCAACAAATCCTTGTTTTACTTTTATGTAATAGTGTTGTTTAATGACCTTTTGCAATTTTAATAAATACACGTTGTTCTAATTCTCAAAGTTGTATAATTTTCTAAAATTTTCTTTTAAACAACTGAAATTAAAGATGAATCATTTTATCGTAAAGATTCTTACCTTAATACTTATTTTTACTACCTTAACCTTCAGCATAGAATGGGAAGGCAATCAATTGCTTGATAGAATTTCTTTTAAAATAGAAGCTATTTGTCCATATGGGAGTGGTCAATGCCCAAATAACAAATGTTGCCCTTTAAATTCATTTTGTGCACGTGGTGGTTGCTGTCCACATGGAACTGGTCAATGTCCAAATGGTTCATGCGCTCCTCCAAATTTTAATTGTTGTAAAGGTAAAGGAGCAGGTCAAGTATGTGTACCTGGTGGATGATGTCCAAATGGATTTGGTCGACACATAGATGGTAGTAAAAAATATTGTCCTTTAGCTCCTTCTACAGAAGATACAACGATAATACCTCCACAGGGACCTGGTGAAAGTCCAATATGGAAAGGCTTAAAACCTTATCGTGGTAAATTAAAACTAGTGGAAATGGAAAAAATAAAAAATATTATGAATGGGATTTTACTCATAATTATCATATTATTAGGGGGTTAGAAAGGGTATATTTATGCATTTATTGTATTTTTTAGTTCAGATTTTAATTAAATAGAAATCATCCTATATGCTTTGTGTAATTTACAATAGTGTTTAATTCCAATTACTTATTTAGATGTTAATTTGATTATTTAATAAATCCAGTATATTATCTACTATACCATTTTATATTGGGCAATGTCACCCAAGAAACACATTATTTTGAAATCGATTTGATCAACTTATCACATGATAATAGGTCAAGAACACCAAGTAATTAAGAATTTAAGAAAAATGAACCTTTTTATAAAAATGAAATTAACAAAAGATGATTAAAAAAAAAATTCAACAATTAAGATTCAATAATGAAAGTAATATTTCATAAATAGTGTATATAAACTAAATAAATAATTATTGAGATTCCTAAATTACCTATTCTCAACTGTGCCTTAGTTTTATCACCTGACATCATAGTTTTAGAGGCATGGATTGATCCATTTAACTTTTTTTTCCTCCAAAAACTTTTTAAAAGTTTATAATGGTAAACTTTAATTTTTTAAATGAGCTTTATCATTGAGCATAATTAATGTGCTCTTTTTTTTTATTATATATTAGCCAAAAGTACGAAAAACTCGCAAATCACTTCATTACAATGTTCCCAACAGAAAATTTGCAGTATCAGCCGATAAAGTAGAAAAAGTTGTAATTGGATCGGCTCTTAATGAGGAAGAGGTGAGTTAGCATATTTGTCGGTTTAATACATTTAATACAGTTCTTTTTTTTTGTCTGATAGTTTTTTTTTTGTAAGCCAAATGCGGAAGAAAAATTACTTCCAAAAATATCTAATACCAAAAAAGAAAAAGCAAGAGAGCGACATGAAAAATGGATAAAAAGTAAGGTTAATAAATTTACAACCATATTATTTATGAGTATATATTAATTGGTAATTTTTATTGATTTTATGAAAAGAATTTGAGCCTACTAAAACATCTACACAAAGATCAAAGAAAAACAAAAAGAAAAAGAAAAAATCACGGCAAATGGATGTTTGTGAAGAGGAAACTACTTTAAATATTTCTGATTTAAAAGAATATCTCCCAGATATTAATAAAGTTGAATCAACTAATCAAAAAGGACAAGACAAAAAAACAAAAAAGAAGTCACAAAATTCAAATTTAGTATTAAATTTAAAATCTGTAAAATCAAAATCTGCACGAAAAATTGTTGCGTAAGTGTATATTTCTTATAAAATCAATTCATTTAAAATTGATATATAATTGACGAAATCTCTTATATTATTTTAGGATGAGTGAAATTCAAAGATTTCATAAAGTATTAAACCATTCTGCTTTTAAGGCTGACCCATTATCAACCATTAAATTGCATGTTGAAAATACAATTGAAAAGAAACAGATCATTGATGATAAATCATCCGCTATGAATATAGATTCAACTTCCTGATTTAATTTTTTTTTTTTTAATGTGTAGTTCTGTTTGGATATTATATTTTAATGTAAATAATTTGAAAAATTATAGAGTTTCTCAATAAATGTAATATTTTCATAAATTTTAACACCTAAAAATTTCTATTTTCGAAGTATTTATTGGTTTAATAAAGCTAGCTAATATCGCTATTTAATTAAAGAAAAAAAAGAATAAAAAAGAATTTGTTTTAAGATTTTATACTTGTCTGAACGATACTTTTTGATAACATGAAGGTAACTATCAACGGATGATATGCATCATTACATTAGTCCTATAGCTCATCAAATAAATCAGTTTGATTTAATTAATATTAATTAAAAAATTAATTTATTATACTAAATAAAGTTTTGATTTTGGATATTAATTTTCCTCTCTCGCACAATATAATTCTGATAATACCAGAAATTGATGATCACACACGTTGGTTCCTTTTAGCATGTAAATAAAGTTAGTGAGATAAGTTAGAGTTCTCAGGAAATCAACACATTGATATAATAAGTTAATTTATGGATAGCTGTAAAGTTCCATATCAACACTGTCACCATGCACGAGCACCATCAGCACCACCAGCACCAGCACCGCCGCCACCACCGCCACCTCCCCCTCCTCCTGCACGATTGTTTTCTGCTTGATTCCATCTCAATTGTCTTAAATACACCAACCAGCCAACTAAAAGACACATTACTAATATCATTAAATTCTCCATTAAATCTTCACTCTCATATTCTTCCTCATCATATTCTTCATCTGTAATGTCCGAAGATTCGGAAAATTCATCAACGCCTTTTTTACGGGCATTATAACTTTTAATTAATTGTTCATCTGGACCCACTGCATCCCACCCTTCTCGCTCATTAGTTTCTTTAGTCGTTACTGACCCATCACTTTCTTCCCTTTCACTATTAAAAATTGGATCATACCATAACCGTTTGGATGATTCATCTGAATCATCCGCTGAAGTTCCATATCCGGTAATGTAATTCCAAAAACTTTTTGTATATAATTTAATTAAAGACAATGTTACTGGTAGATACGCGTCAGGATTGGTTGAAAGGGACTGATCATACCATCTTTTCGCGAGATGAAAATCCTATATGAAAATAAATATTATAGATTAATGTATTAAAAATGAAAAATAAAAGTACGATACAAACTTTAGCTACTCCTATTCCATTTTCATGCATCCAACCAAGATTCCACATAGCCATCGCACTTAATTCAACTTCTGCAGCTACCTGATAACAAGCAGCAGCCTTTTCATAATTAACTTCAGTACCAAATCCTTTAAAATAATAGTCTCCCATTTTTACACGTGAATCAACATTTCCTTGATTGGCTGATCGTGTCCAATAAATTAATGCCAATCTCTCCCGAAATGGATCTATCTTTGGTATTAAGTGTGGTGGATGCCATCGCGATTTATCTACAATCAAATACAAAAAAATATAAAACATCTATTCGTTTCCAAATCAACCTCAAATTAACTAAAATTAACAAAATACCTTGATCCAATAACCATGCAGTATTTGCTTGACCTAATTCATAACCTCTTTCTGCAGCTAGTAAATAGTTAATCAATGCGCTGTCTCTGTCACCTGTACGATATGATGTATATGCTATTAGAAATGGTGAATGTAACCAATCGCCTCGTTCTGCCACCATTTTATAATACTAAAATAATTCGTTCAATTAATATAATTAATAAATTGTAAGTAAAAATACATGGGAGAAAATGTGTACATACCGCGGCTGCTGTACAATATCTTTCAGCCCCTAATCCTTCCTCATACATTTCAGCTAAGTAATATTGAGCCAGTATATGTTTTTGTTCTGCGGCTAATCGGAAAAATTCAAAAGCGGCCTCGTAGCTACCTTTCTGATCTAGATATAAAAATATAGTTATTCACGAATTAATGATAAATATAGAAAACAATAGTCAAAACTCCAACCTACGCAAGTAAATTAAACCCAAATTCACTTGTGCTTCGGTATATTCTTTTTCTGCCGCAAATTTGAATAAACGCATGGCTTGTTCAAGATCCTATTATTATTAAATTTAAGTAGTTGTATATATATATATGAATTTAATAGGGAAGCAAAAGATGAATCTACACTTACTTTTTTCACTTCAATACCTTCCATATACATAATACCGAGTCCATTCCAAGAAGCCGGATCATCCTATATTTTAACAGTTATTTAATATCACTTAATTAATTCGCTAGTAAAACATATGAATCTGAAATCAAATATCAACAAACCAGTCGGACACCTCTTATAAACCATTTGAGAGCTGTTTTGTTATCTTGTTCAACTCCTTCACCACGCAAATACATTCTTCCTAAAATTCCGGCCGCCTGTCCAGCAGCAATCCTTTGCTTAGAGTTCATATTGGGTAGATCCTCAAACGGATTCTCTGTTATCCAATATTTATTAGCAACATTCTTGAGATAATTGTATGCACGCTGGAAATTCTGATGAATATTACGAGTTCCTTGATAATACAATTGCCCTAAACCTAGCTATAGCGGAAATAAAAGAATCAGTTACAACAATTCAACATGATAACTACCTTATATTAAACACCCCACCTGAGCTGTTACATCTCCATTTTCAGCTGAATAATGATAAAACTCTAGTATATCATCCAAAACAGCTTGGTCACCATGCTTCGATGCATGACCAGGACCCCCACTAGCTCCATATCCATACACCCCACCATCTTCATCGTATAATCTGGTTTTGAAAGGAGGAGGAGGAAGCTGATGACCACCAGGCGGACCAGACTTATAATAATCAATTGCTAAAAGAAAATCGATGCTTAAAATATTTATTCGATGTTAAGTGAAAAAAATTTTGGTATAATAAGCTACCTTTATCTGCTACACGTTTATAATAAAAAACTGCATCTTCACAACTGCGTGGCACTCCAATACCCATTAAGTGGCGATAACCAAGTGTCATTTCCGCGGCAGTATCACGTCCAAGCGCGGCAAAAGTATGATATAATAAAGCCTAATTAACTTACTCAATTAAGTTTTATCTTTCGAGAATATGGATTAATTACATAATTGAAAAATGTTACTAACCTTTCCCTGATCTCTTTCAACAACATTTCCTATACCTGTCGCGTACATGAATCCAATCATTTGTTGTGCTGTCGCATTTCCAGACCGATTTGCTAATTCACGATAATAATAGAGAGCAGCCGTTAAATTACGAGGATGTGTATACTTTGCGTACTTAAATGACAATTAATACAAAAAATTAATAAAAATTTTTAAATATTGACGAAGAAGTATTCATAACTACTTACAAAATTTATTTCTCCAAGAGTAAATAATGCGCCATTATGATTATATTCGAAAGCAGCCTTCTCTAATAATTCAACTGCTCTAATCAATTTTGGATGCTTATATTCAGCAATAATCCGTTTTCCTATTTCAGAATTATCCGCAACTGGGGAACGTAATCCGAAAATGGAGAAGATAAACTTTGTCAAAAGCCGATATGAAAGGAGGAGGAGACTAGGATCTGTTTCATCAAACTCAAATCGCTTTTTTTGTGATGATTTCAATGTTCGGAGTATTCTTAACGCCTTTTGATATATTTCATCAGCTAATATACAAAATTATTAGTTATAGAAACTATTTTAAGTTTATGCAAACCTTTTGGCCTGAACTTACCACTCAGTTTTTCTTCCAACTTATATAAACCGTCTGACTTCTCCGTTATTATTACAGACTGTGTCTGGGTCGCAGTATCTTGTGATAGTTCATCGTTAGTAATAGCAGTAACGTGAGCGATCGTAATAATGAATAAAATGTAAAGGACACAACCTAATTTGTTAAAAAAAAATTAGATCAACTGTCAATAATGAAATATGATATTAGCAATGAATAATAAAACTATAAATACCGATCAAAGGAAAACGTTTAAGTTTGCACAACATATTTCTCAGGTGCAATACTGAAATCTTTGACTGTTAAAACGCATCGCATGAAAGTTTTTGGTTTACAACCTTCTATATTGTATTTGTAATATTCAATTGATGTACATAACCAACCATAAATTTACAAGTAATTTTATCGTTCAATAAGAGGTTAACACGTTTATAATTCCTTATTTCTAAAAGAGGTATCAATGATTTTGAAATTCCCTAATTTGGATAACATGATCCGAAAAAATGGTAGAGGCTAATTTTTAAAAAACCTAATAGTAACGTAAATAATCTCTGATCACTATCTTATCATATATTGGAAGATTCTTTGTACAAGAATTAATTAAGATAAAAATAGCTTGTAAACGAATAAAAATTATTAGCAGTGCGCAACCTTTTTAGTGATAAAGGAAGGATCATAACATTGATTGTCTCCTCCAGATTCTTATTAACAACAAAGTTAGGGCGAGAATTAGAGCGGATATCAAGCAAACAAATCCAGTAATTCTCTCAGTTGTAATTAAATCTACACTCTATAGTATAAAAAACACGATTTTACTCCAACCCTAACAACTTTTGTTAATCGCTTGTCCAAACTTTAAAAAGAAGTTTATATTATTAATTTAAAATTTTACTTGTTCTTATTGCGTATGATTTATTGCAGCATAAAATTGTTGTCCCCGATATTTTTCAAAGATTTCATATGAATCCCAACATATCGTTATATCGCAGTTTGACTGTATTCATCTGAAACATGAGAAAACGAAGACTAAGAGAAAGTTCCGGGTAAAGAAAGCAAAGAAACTGGTAAGCATATTGGATACTTCTATCAATAGACGTGACAAAAAGATCAAACCCGTTGGGAAGTTACATGAACCTACTGCCCACTTCACCAAATTAACGCATTGAAGCTGATTATTTTAAATACGATTACAAACTAGTTGATAACGTAAAATCGTACACATTAAAGTATGTTAAGTTCCTCTTAAGGTTTCCTGTTTCGTGCCACTGAGCAACTCACAATATCCTAAGCAAACGACTCCTTGGCTCATCACCTTACTACCTTCTCTTTCCAGAAAGTATCCTTCCAGATGGGCTGACCCTTGTTTTCATTAATGTCATGCGTCTTAAATTTCTAACAGGTGTACAAAATCATGGCAATTCCGTTTGTTTTAAAATCTGTATACATATGATACTCTTTTTTTAACATTTACATTGTTCTATTATTTTCCAACAAAATCTATGACAATCTCTCAGATTCAATAGTGATACTGATTGTTTGATTATATCCTCTTGTACTCCTATGGTACGACCAGGCAACAGATTCGATTGATTGACTTTGCCTCATCATTCACGTACTCATCGTCAAAGAACATATCATGCCGAATGGCATATTCCAATGACAGATTATTTAGTACACCAAGATTTGCTTCATGATTCTCATTGTCTTTCGTATTTTCAGCTCTTTCCGAGATAGAAACGAATTAGTTTTTCAGCAATTTTCTTGTAAAATTGTAAAATTGATGGATGATTCTTCAATTGAAAGTGAAGAATTAATCCTCAAATTTCATTATAATTGATTTTATTTTTTGCTACATGCACCTAAAATATGGAGCACAAGGAAATGAATGAATATATGATTCTATAGGTATTTTTTTTTTGTCATCAATGATTTAGACAAAAAGGTGTTATAATAAAAGATTAAATATAAATCTGTATTTAAAGTAAAAAGTCCCCGTTTAAACTATGGTATAATCCGAGGACAAAGTGGAACTATTGGAGTTATAATCCAAATGTAGTGAATCTGATGATGATGCAACTTCTCCTCAAGAAAAAGAAATTAAGTCAAAAAGAATGCTGCAGATCTTAAAGAATTTTTTAATAAAAGTGACATCTTACGTTATAGAACAAATTATCCGTTGAACATAATTGCAAGGTTTGTAACTCTCTTTTAAAGTCTCACTGTTTATTATTTTTGTTTAATAATGTTGACACATCGGTTTTATTCGACATTATCGTTATTGATAACGGAAATTTTCAATATCGTTAACGATCAATAGCGAGAAAAACAAAAGGAAGACACCATGGATTACTTAATTTAACGATGGATTATCAAAGTAACAATCTCTACAGGAAGAGGTTACTTTTAATTCAACTAGAATCATACTCAAGACAATACTATTTATTATAATGAGATAATTCCGGATCGATGAAGGTGAAGAACGGGTTAATAAACGGATCGATCACATTGATTTAGTTTACTATCTACTCACAAATCAATCTGCTAATATAACCATTCTTAATATTTCTCTGGTAAAATTCTTGAATTGTAGACTTCATTTTCCCCAAAGTGCACGAATTTCCATTGCTTCGTGGAGGCACATCTTCCTCCAAAATCTCCGAAGTAAATCTTTTTTTTATCTCTCGTCTAATCGAAAAGTTGCTGGAATTGGCTCCATTTGAGACGAGTCTGGAATAAGTTCCCGTCCATTCACATAGTTCATGTAGTTATCCTATGTCAGGATTAAGTGAATAATTTGATAAAGACAATAAAAACCTAAGAAACTACACCTTCATATCATCATCATAGTACCAATTCATTCGTTGCTTCTTTCTTTTTTTTTTTGTCTATACTGTGTCACTTTTTGTTAATATAAAATTGTGCTTTTTTCTCCCGAAAAATTATTAAGAAATTTATATAAATTATGAATCAATATGTTTACAAAAAACACTTTTTTGGGTGAAGATTTTTTTATTTTTGCAAATGATTTCTCAAATTATCTTATAACATATAGTCCAACCTCAGAAGCTTACAATAAATCTATTGATTAGCTAATCAAAATTAAAGCACCTGCAAAATTAAATAATAGACATTAAATTGAAAAGACTGTTTTAAGACCGAGGTTTTTCTTTCTTTTCCTTGTATCTATAAATATTTAAAATTAAAAAACTATAATAATTTAAACGAAAAAATAACAAGAATTAAAGGATGTACTTACAGAGCAAGGAGTGATACACCCGAGACTTTGACCACTTTGAAACGAACTCCAGGAATATCACCAATCTACAAAAGTAGCGTAATCAGACCGTTGAATCTAGTTAAATTTAAAGAATGGTCGAATACTTACGGCGCGACCTTTACGACCAAATCCCGCAAGCAGAACTTCATCATTTTCATCTACGTAATTTAAACAACCATCATTAGGAACGAAAGCCGTAACTTTCTTTCCATTCTTAATTAATTGAACTCTAACACACTTGCGAATAGCAGAATTTGGTTGCTTGGCTTCCACGCCACTTTTTTGGACAAATAAATAATCATGCAGAGCGAAAATTATAATAAAATAAATTAAATAAGTTTAATTCTTTAATTAATAAAGTAATAGATCAGAAAGATCAGGAGATAAAATTACATTTTTTCAAGTACAATGCCTTTTGCATGAGAGGCACCGCCAAATGGTGAAGATTTGTAAGCGGTACCTAATGCTCTCTTCTTATATGCTTTATCAGCCCATCGTTCTACACGACGGTGTGTACGTAGTTTACGAGCGCTTTGCAATCCTCTGGGTTTTCCTTTACCTAATATAATACGAATTCAATAAGATATCTTAGAAAACGGGTTGGAAAAAAAATTCTTTATAAACCTGTAACTCTATTATTAAATTTCTTGCAAGGTTTAAAAGATAAAATAATAAAATTCCTTAAGCTAATAAATAGAAATGATAACTCTTACCCATTTTACCTATTTTTAAGAAGATGGGATGAAACGGAGGAGGAATCTTTGATTCATTTTTTTCACATTTAATACAAATCTAGCTATTGGCTGATATAAGTGATTGTGTAACAATAGCCATTTAAAAAAATAATATAAATAGTTACAACACGATAGTTTTGCTCTTTAGTTACGCTAATAATTTTTATCAAAATGTTCAATAATTTTTATCAGAATCAAAAGTTACTTCGCGATGATCCTGAAGTAACCGAGTTCTTGAAGACGAAATTAGGGGTTAATGTAAGAAGTGGTTTCTTTTTTTTTTTTTCTTCGTTATATACGCGTTAAGTTCCAGTATAATTATATATATATCTTTTTTTATTAACATTACGAATTTTTGTAGCTTGACGGTACCGAGCGAGAATTCATTGGTTTTATGTCAAGTTTCTTGAGACAGTATAATGTAATGTCCTTCGATATCAATCCGATAGACCCTAGTGACGATGCTATAAGAAAGACAGTACAACGAGTACTTAGACCAGGTTACCTGTTATATAAAAACAATTATCAAGATTATACTCTTTTATTAACTATCGTATTTTTCTCTAGATTCTCTTTTTGAACCAGGAATTCAAAATTCGGTTCGCGATTATCTTGAAATTGCAACCGAAGGAACTACGGCAATATTTTCTTCGCTTGTCGTGTCATATAGAGGTTACCCCAGCAGAGCTAATGTCTTAATGAGTATGATAAATGCCTTCTCTGACCAAAGTCCACATAATCCAAATGATCCAACGGCAAGAGGGCGCGAGGAAGGGATCGAATGTTTAAAAAAAGTGTTAAAGGCAAAGTATGACGCCAAGAAGATAGACGAAACACTTATGAAAAATGGCAGGGTAATTATTTTTTAATATGAAACGCCTTATATTTCATCAAGAATTAATCAATGTTTTTTTTTCAAACGTAGTCTTTAAATCCAGTGTTGGAACTTATAGATAAAGCTGAATGGCGTAAAGTGTTATATGAACTTTCAGAGAAATATCCTGACAGTCAATTCTTGAACGTTTTGATTCGGGTAATTAATTTAATTAATTGTTAGCAATTTTATTTGTTATAACTTTTTCTTATGAGGAATGCAATCGATATTAGAAAATAGCGGATCAAGGTTTCGTTGGTGAAATAAAACATCTCAAAACTGCGTCAACATATATTGAGGTGTATTCAAAGGTTTTGCTTGACCAATTCAATACGTTATTAAACGCGGACGACGCGAGCTTATCTAAATTTTTACCGGATTTAGTGGTGGGTTTTTTTTTCACATTCTGTTATTTTTTACAAAAAATATGTTAATTTCACTTTATTATATAGAAAACAGCAAGTCAGCACCCACACACGTATCTTTTTGTTCAAACGTTAATAAAGCGATTGATTCAAGTACCAAATGGTTACCCGCTAAGAAAGTTGGCTAAGGAGTTGGAAAAAGGCGTAATTGATGGCCGGTACATATATACACACTATACATACGATTCTGAAATTTTTAAATTATGCAAATCTAATATATTCTGAATTGGTAGAAATGATCTAGTGATAACATTGAGAAACTTGTTATCGGCTCCACCAGCTGCTATTGCATCATCTATTTTTCATATACCACCAACACCTGGAGATGTGGTCGCGGTAACTATTTATATATTTATCATTATAATATACTTTCTCACATTTCTAAATTTTTTTTTTTTTTTTTTTAAATCTACATTTTTAAGATAAATGTTCCCTCACTTTATTTTTTTTTCTTGAAAAAAAGCCGCGAAAATTTTTCTAAGATAATGTTGTACAAAATTTTTTTTTTTTTTTTTTTGGCGCTTATTGTAGTTGTATAAGCAATATAGTTCTAGACCACCACCTTCTCCCATATTTTTGCGCGATCCTCAATTGCTCTGTATGTAGTGTATTTATCTGGTTTGTTTATTATTTTTTTTTTAATTTTATGGTAATGTCAAACGCGTCTAAAAAATTTGTTCATGCAATTGCTATGTGGATATTTTAGATTGGTTATTAAATAATATATTCGTACCTTCTGAGAAAAACAAAAACTTGAAGCAAGATCTTAAGGAAAAGTATTTATATTTAGCGGCTTTCGCTTCAAGCGCCAAGGAATTATCGAACGGAAAGGTAGAATAGCTGTATATGTCGTACACAATAAATTCATTTTCCATTCTTATTAATTATCTTTTCTAAATTAGATTGATTCTTCACAAGTCGATAGTACCTTTACAACACTTAAAAAACTCGAAGCTGCCGTTTCTAAAAAAGGTGCAACGACTACCGAATTCGGTAGCATCGTTAAAGAAATTTTGGAATATATAGAGTAAGTTTTATCTTATCGTGATAACATATGTTTTTACTATAAGTAATTTAAATGTTATTCTGTTTTATTTTTGAATATAGTACTCCGATAGCTTCAATGGCTTTAATCTTTTGGATTAAACATCTTTTACGCGACACGTCATTTTATGAGAAGCATTTCAAACATCATGAAGTCCCGATTCCTCATCTGCTTCTTGAAGAGGTAAAAAAATTATGTATTAGTATTTATTCACTTTGTCAAAATGTTTATTTTTTAAAATAAAATATTATGTGATTGAAGATTGCGTATCGTCATCCTTATCAACGAACACACGTTTTTAACGCGTTTAAAGCTGAACTGGAATCAAATTCATGGAAACTTACACCGGAAATTATGGTTTCGTACAACTTTATAATTTGGTTATGTTAATAGTATGTAACAGTTTGATTTACGCGTTCATTTCATTCACAATTACAGTTGGGTCTGCGACAACAATTGTTGGATCGAATGATTTACCTGATACAGCTTGGATTTGTTATACAAGTCATGATGTATATTGAAAAACAAACAAAAAAATTAGAGGAAAGATTAATAATCTATTTTATCAAAAAAGTAAGTGTGTTCTTAAAAGATTTCTATTTTTGATAAATGTTGTATCCAAAAGAGGAAACTCTGTCACATAATTAGTTAAATTAATTTCCATATATTGGACATTTATGCCCTGATGATATAAATGATTTAAGTTTTCGAAACTTTTGTTACAACATTTGAAAATAGCGTTATTCCGGTTATCTGGTTTATAAGCCACGTGTAAAAAATTTTCTTTAATTGTTTTTAGGTTGTTCAAATAATTGGACCACCCTATTCAAAAGATTTTTATTGTATAATGATAAAGTTAATTGAACCATTTGATGTTGTCTTGGAAGCACAGTCAGATACAAGAATACTAATTAGACAATTCCTTGGTATGATAGATCTTTTCTCCTTCTTTGATTCCTTTACTTTTTTATACGTACTAACATGTACTCAACGAATTTAGCTGATTGTCCTCAAAATTTGAATGATAAAGAAACCTTTTATGCTATTTCTAAACTTAAAAAATGTTTCAGTTAGGGTTAAACTTGGATTAGAGTGGTTAGATTCGATATTTCTACTAGGAAATTAATACAGTTTTATAATATATAATTGATTATTGAATACAAGCTAAATTGCATTAATAATAATATATAAAGGAAAAATACCATATTATAAGGAATATATAGTATTGAGTAAACCATCTTACTAGAATTTTTTTTATCTATTTTTATTATTTTATAAAATAGCACTAGATTGCAAAAACATAAACCATTGAAAAAAATAACATTTAGATTATTAATTTCTACTACTTAATAATCCTAATGATTCTTCTTCTACATCAACTTTTTTTATGAAACAACATAATAAAATATTTTTTAAGCCAATTATACCACGTTTTATGTTATTTAAAAATTCATCCTTTTTGGCAAAAATCCATGGTTTTGAACTTGATATTCTATCATTTCTCAATCGATGTGAATTATCAATACAAGTGAACATACATACCTTTATGAAAAATTATGAATTGTGAATAAATTGCTTGTAGTTATATGTGAAGAACTTAAAAGATTTACTTACAAAAATTGAAGATAATACTCCTAATGCCGTAGAAGCAGATATCATGAACATGATAATCTGTTGATATTTAACAGCATCCATTATAGGTGCACCACCAATAATTTGACCAGTCATCATACCTAATTGATTTCAATTTACTATTTAGATACAATATGTAAGTATTTATTTATATTTGATTAAGATATCTAAAAATTACCTGGAATAGCAATCAATCCAATTATACTAAAATGTAAAATACAAGTTTAGCAACATTATAATAAATAAATAAAAATAGACGGACTAAAAGTTACCTCATAGCATTAATAGTAGGTAACATAGCTAATCTTATCGCTTCAACTGCAACCGGACGACCGGCTTCCCATCGAGAAGCACCAAATGATAAGTACATTTCTATCATTTCCTTTTGTTCACTAACATTTTATAATATAAGGAACTAATAAGTAAATAGCAATGAATACAAGATGTACAATACAATTACCTTAATTGATTAAGTGCATAAGAAGTGGCAACAGCTATTGCTGACATACCATTCCCAAGAAGCATTCCCATTGTTGGAACAAATATCCGTGGATCCCAAAATTTTCCTTGATTCAAAGAAAAACGAGATCCTTCATTTAACAAAAAATCGGTTAGTTCCTATGCGATAAAAGAAACGAACGAAAATAAATATCAATTAAATAATATGTATAACTTACCGATAGTACCAATTATCATAGTACTTACTCCCAGCGAAAGAAGAACGGACAAATACTATCAAGTTTACGAAGATATATCATTAATAACTTTATTAACCACTACGTTCTTATATATATATATATATATACCATGCCGGCGTGTCTCTTCTTGCTCTTATTTAATACTATTTCATTGGCGCCGAGAAAAACAAGTACAACTAAAAGGAGCAATTTAATTAATGAAGTAATAAAGCAATCGATTGCAAAATTTAATTATAACTTACAAATCATTGCAAAAACAATATAAGGATTTTGTGCTTTAAAAACATCTTCAAGAACTAAGCCCTAATTGTAGCGATTCAGTAAATTAATAAAAGCGATATTTTAATCACAACCCAAAATGAAAACTAAAGGTAACAAACCATTAAGGTCAATTGTACAACACAACGGACCGCGCTGACAAATAAAGATGTTCCTAAATTTAAACCAAATGATATTGATATAACACCTAGATATTTATAAATGAAAATTAATATATATATATTAAAATAATGCAATGAAATAACTATTACCTACTATTTATAATAATGAACGTCGAAGCTATTCCTACATGATACCATTCGAGTGGATTATCATCGATTTTACTTGAATCTCGACGACAAGTATCGTCTTGATAGCTAAGTAATGGATCGTTGCCAATAAAGACCATTTTGTTAGACCAAAAATTATTGAATTAAGTCTTGACAAAAAAATCTCGTGCGAGAATTCACATTACCAATCATAGTTTAGGGGTCAAGGTAAAAATTTTATGATATCATAAAACAAATATCTTTTAAAGTTAATAATGAACGCACCTGCTGATCACACACATGTACAACCTTTTTTTTTTTTTGGTGCAAACTAAATACAAACTAAAGAAAAACGGTTTAAAAAGATAAACCCTTTTCTAATATAAGTGTTGGATGTTACACGAACAATTACAATAAAATCTTATAGTGTTTAAGTGTCTCTGGAATATCATACGATTATTCGTTTAGCCATTGACTTCGCGTTTTTTCAAGGAACATTTAAAATTTAAGAATGGACCCAGTAACTGGACTACCAAAATCGCGTCGTTCAACTACCGACTCGCATCGCGAAGGTCTTACCACTGAGACTCACGATTGGACCTTGGTGAAAGCCACTGAACTCGTAGAAGACCAAAAAATTATTATCATGTATATATCATTAAATTGTTTTGATTTTATCAATTATAACTAAAAATAATGTTCTTTTCTTTTTTAAGTGATGGCGATACTGCAATAGAAGCAGCCTGTGATGTAAGAATTATTGTTATTTGTCCAATTATTTGAATGTCGTGTTAATTTTTCAATATTTTATTTTTTTAGACTCTTATTAAAAATAATGTATCTTCTGCCCCAGTTTATGATAATAAAACCAAAACTTACGTTGGAATGTTTGATTGGGCAGATGTTATGACCTATCTATTAATTGTTTTGAAAAAGAAAGATATTTTAGAACAGCAACGAAAGTCCGATGAAGAATTGACTTCCGAATTTAACGATTTATTGAAATTGGCAATACAAAGTCAACCAGTTCCCGTAAAATTAGCTTCAGGTAATCTTAATAAAAATCTTAGTAATAAGATTATAGAAAAATTTGATAAATGATAAAAATATTTTTTATAGATATATCCAATAGGAATCCTTTTTATTCGGTATTTCCTGAAACTTCATTGTTACAAGTGGTTGAATTATTTGGAAGTGGAACTCATAGAGGTATTTCTAATTCTTTTTTTTTCGTAAAAATTTGTTAATTTACTGAAAAATCTTTAAATCATATTAGTTTCCGTTGTCGATGCGGATGGTTATATGAAGGGCATATTAACTCAATCAAGAGTTATTAATTATCTATACAATAATGTATGATTATGCACTTATTTAAATCAAAAAACGCTATCATCATCTTATTTATTTGTCTATTTTATAGGTGACAAAATTCCCTCAGATCGAAGAACTTTTCCCAAAATCGGTATTTATTTATATTGTTTTTGTGTTATTTGTAGAGATATTGTAATTTTGAAAACATCATTTAATAGCTTCATGAACTCAATATTGGAAAAAGTACCATAATTTCTGCCCAAGCTGATTCCTTTGTAATTGAAGCGTTAACAATGATGAGTAAGTTAATCATCTTTTTTTTTACATGCTATCTTCTTCTCTATTAACAATTATATTTTGTTTAAGATAAAAATTCATTAAGTTCAATTGCCATTGTTGATGCCGATGGAGTTCTATTAGGAAATATCAGTATGACGGATGTTAAAGTTCGTATAAGAATTTTCAAAGCCTTTTAATTATTTTTACAAAATTCTTTAATTATTGACAATTATTGGCAATTTATTTATTTTTGGCAGTACATTCTTAGAAGTTATAGTCATTCTTTAATGTGGAAAACATGTCAACAGTTTGTCGGTCATGTAAGAAGTAGGCAAGGGTTAGAGGATGGACAAGATAAATATCCAGTATTCGATGTTCGCCTAACATCCACGGTAGGACACACCATTGCTAAACTTGTAGCCACTAAAGCGCATCGAGTTTGGGTTGTAGATGAAAGGCTACGAGCTATAGGAATTATAAGTTTGACAGATGTGTTGTGTTTATTTGCACGTTCTGCCGGAGCAAATCCAAAACCAAAGAGGTCGTCAAGTTCATCTATACCAACAGATCCATAAATTAAAGAGAGATCTGGAAAATACTTGGCATTATATATGTTAATAATTATTATTATCCATTTTTATATTATTACATATTTTTCCAGCATGTGTTATGAATAAATTAATAATTATGATTACACTCAACATATAATTAAATTTTGATCTGAATTTTTGTTTAGTTTCACAGTGTAAATAATTAATAAATTTTCTTTAATAAACGTTAGGAATTAATATTGACATCTTTTGGTTTAGAAACCTCACTTGTAATTTCTTTTGATTTTTTATTAGAAGTGAAAAACATTATACTAAAAGAAAAAACTGCTAATCCAAATAAACCCACTACAAGGAAGAAAAATAATTCAGTAAAAAAAAATTTGATAAAAAAATATACAAAATATAAGATTAAAATTATTTACATAATGCCATCCTAGTAGTTTCCCATTTTAATGCTTCAATATCGGTACGAACATCACCAGAACTTATTGTAAATTTATTATCAATTCTTTGAATATTAATTTCCTTTTTTTTCTGTTCCTCCCTTATATCAGCTTTATAATTATTTATATCTAATTGTATAAAATGTCTCATTTTCCCAATATCATCTCGTAATTTTTGATGAAGTGATGAAACTTCTCTTTGAATTAAAGAATTTTCTGAACTTAGATCTACTAAACTATTTTTACGCATTATTTGTATTTCTATACGAAGGTCAGACAGTGATGCTTGAAACAAATAAGTTTCCTTTGTATAATCGGGAAAAATGAAGAAAATTAGAAAATATAAAAGTTTTATAAAAATTCATTTATAAGTAAAAGAAAATTTAATACATTTTCTAAGTCTGCTTTCGATAATAATTTTGAACGTGATTTAAAACTAATGTTAAAATCAAGTTAAATTGAGTTATTAGAAAAATAATAAAATAGAATAAAAATTTAAAGAATTTATACCCGTTAATTAACAAAGCTTCCATTCCTCTCATAATAGCTTCAGCTTGACCTCTAGTAAATCCCTGTACTTCTAAATCTTTAACAATTTTATAAGTATTAAAATAATATTGTGCTTTACTTGTTGGCTGTATCGTAATCTCCTTTTCTTTTGGTTTATCAGGAGATAAAGGTGATATTTGTTCTTGAATAGTTGAAAAATATTTATGAATGGAAATCGTTTGTTGTTCTCGAATACTGGGTCGAAATACCGATAAAGAACCTAAATATGAAAGAATTAGTTACACGTTTAAGTGGCATTATTAAAAAGTTCGGATTTTACCAGTTATAGGAAATATTGAACGTTTTATGATTTGATTTAACATTTTATATACAAAGAATTTCGAAAAGCGAGATATCAAGCAGATTAAATTTGATCGATTGGTAGCAGCTAATCACCGATCGTTTCACAAACAACTCGGTGATTATTAAAATTTTAAAGTTTAGCTTAGCTTTGTTTTACTTATGCAAAACAGATACAATTTCTTTTTTTCACGTGTATTTGTAAATAAATTTTTTCTTTGTTGAAACTCTCGGTGTTTCGAATTCTAAATTAAGACTTTTGATTCTAATTTTTATAAAGTAACTGATAAATATAATCATGTAGAATTCCGAAGAATTAGGAAAATTTCTTCGGAAGAATACATGATTATCTGATAAATTATTTGAGATTTGGTTATTATTGCCGTATATATTTTAAATCATTTAGTTCTGAAATTTCTTTTTAATCGCAGATAGTCATTAAAGCCAAAGTTATTTATAATAGTTGAAATTAATCTACTTATATAATAAATTACATTTATAAGATCTTTCTTTACATGAAATATTCTTTAAGTATTTTTAGGAATTAAAATTCTTGAAACTTTCTCAAAATATTTAACCAATTAAAATGTTGGTTTATTAATATACTTTTGACCGGGCGGTGTATATAAGTTTCTGCGTTAATTAGTTAGCTAATATTCAAAATTTTAATTTATTTTTATTAATTTTAAGGTACAACATACGATGGGCTCCTTTTTATGTTTAACAATTTAAATTGGCGTGAGAGTAATCATTGGCGTATATTCCGATACTTGATAAAATTCCATGGAATTAAATTCATCACAACAGTAGAACTTTCTAACTCCCTGCACCCCCTACTGTATTATTATAAATCTTATTGTGCAAATATTTGGGAAGGTACCTCGGCTTTATTATGCATACGATAGATCCAATCAATTTAGATGGTCACTATAATCTTCATAACAAGCGAACAATGTTTGTACTTATTTAGTTTAAAAAAAAACGAACTCGTGAATAAATAAAATTCTATTTATAATCAGATTACCATAAACTGCAGCTAATTAACTAAATCTCCTTAAAAGGAAATGTGATAAATTGCAATATTTAACGGTTGGATCAGAAATTTTTTTTTATAAAGAACGAAATTTCGCTGTTATAAGTCGTCCTACTTTTTTTTTCTCTCTCCTACCTATAATAAAGTTTTTTAACCTAATTTCTTATTTTTGAAAAAAAAAAATGAAGTTATTCGCTACCATATACATTGCTGTTATAGCTTTTGCTGCTTTTTCAAATGCACAAGGTATGTAATTAATTTATTTAATAAAATTTTTTTCTTTAAAAAAAAATTTTTATTTATTTTCTTTAATGGGTAAATATAGCACAAAATGCAACAGCGAATCTTCCAGACTTTCAATTTCTTCTCACCCAGAAATCAGAACCAGAACGAGATAATATTTGTAAGACCAACATGGGTTTTTGCGAAACAAATTGTGGTGGACCGAATAAAGTATGTACTTGAACTCATAAAAAAAAGAATTCTTTCTTTTCATCTTCCTATTGTAATTCTAATTGTACTCTCTTTCCGTTTATTAATATTAACGCTTAATAGGCTCCAATGGTACGTAAATGCAAAACTCATTTACGAAAAATTTTATAAATATCCATTATATTAACGTTTTATAAAATTTATTTTAGAACTTTTGTAATGTAACCACAATGGGATGGGGATGTGGATGTAGCGATAAAATTCCGGATTTATCAGCGTTCCAATGGCCAATTAACCGTGAGCATTGCATCGGATCAGGGGAAGCTTGCAAGTTAGCCTGTCAAGATCCTAAAGTTCCAAATGAGAAAAAGCCAGATTGCAATCTAGCTTGCATTGATACATACACTTCAAAGTGTGGTACAGCAGCACAACCACCAGCCTATTATAATGTTTCAGATCCTGCAATTGTTCCAACATACGCTCCGCCCAAGAATTCAGTGACCGATAGTGCAAATAATAATAGTACTAGTACTAATGGCACTAATGGCAGTCAATCAACTAATAATTCAGCATCAGAAAGTAAAAAGCAAAGCAGTGCTTCCTCAATAAATCACCTTGGAAATGCTGCTGTTGCTTTGGTAATTGTTGCCTCTGGAATGTCTCTATTTTAATTTTAGTATTTTAATTTAATTAATAATTTAATTATAATTATTGGGATGTTGCGGTTGCATCATTTAATATAAAATTAATGTCAATTAGAAGTTAAAGTTTTCTTAGATTTATTATTAATAAAATAAAACTTTTATTTCATTATAATTACTATAAATTGCTATAATTTCATTGTTCTGTGTGAAAAAAGTAAACTTAGGCTTAGCAAAATGATTGACAAATAACTAAGCCAAGCCGAGCCTAAGCCAAGATTTTATAAATCGGGATTTCATGCTAATCGTCAAATCCGTTTATGTTATATGACATTACACAGGTAATCTAATTAGTGGATTCCCTGTTTCACTGCCACAATCTTCAGTTATTCGTTTACAGTTCATTATTTCAAAAGCCACCAAACCAACAAACTTTCCTGTTTTTACTTATATTCCTTTCGTTTTAGATCCTACTTTATACATTCTTTACACACACATATATTTCCTGGACAATTTTTTTAAAAAAATTAAAAAATTAAAAAATAACATTCTTTTTGGTATAGTCATAATATTATTTTAGAATCACATACAACCACAACATAAATAGACGTGAAATAGATTTTTAACAATAAACCTAACTTTCGTTCGTTGTAAACAATGCCTCCGCCAGCTGTTGAAAATATTAACGTTGTGCAAACCACTGTTAATACTCCCGAGATCTTTGTAGATCCCGAAGTAGCCTCTATATATTCTGATGGTGATTCCTCTGACGAAAGGTCTCTAATTAGTAAAGCAAGCGACGAATTTCGTCCGTCACACAATCTTACAACTCCTGACTTGAAGCGTTCAGCTTCTGTTTCCTCATTTAGCTCATACGCTTCATCTCCAGATATTCCTCTACCCGAAAGTAATGATCATGATTCTACTTTGCAAAATATGCTAGCACTAGGTGAATCAGGTGCTCTAGCTCAAAATTGGTTTAGTTCTGGTACATTAAAAGCTGATGGCAGATGGTTTAAAGATGATAAAGGTCGTACTTGTTTATTACGTGGTGTTAATTTATGTGGTAGTTCGAAATTACCTACTAAACCTGATGGATCAAGTCATTTAAGTGAAGGATTTTTTGATCACCGTAATGTTTCATTTGTGGGTAGACCATTTCCGCTTGAAGAAGTTCAACAACATTTTGCTAGATTAAGAGCTTGGGGTCTAACTTTTGTTAGACTTTTGGTCACTTGGGAATCATTGGAACATGCTGGACCGTGAGTATATTACGAATTTTAATATCAAAAGAGATCAGGAGGGAAATCATTAATTCTTAAAGAATGAGTAGTAAAATAAGTGAATTAATTCTGTATTTTTACTTTAATACTAATAATTATGCTATTAAATAATGTAGAGGTATTTATGACGAAGAATATATTGATTATCTCATTAATGTTATAGAGCAAATGTCTCGTTATGGTATAAAATGTTTCATAGATCCGCATCAAGATTGCGTAAGTGATTGTTTCCCGAAAGCTAAAATAGACAAAATTCTATAATATAATTGATGTTTACTCTCAATATTTTTGTAGTGGTCAAGATTTTCAGGTGGATCAGGTGCACCAGGATGGACATTTGAGGTTGCTGGACTTGATATAACAAAGTTCAAAACCACTGGTGCTGCCTATGTCCATAATACTAATCATAAACCTGGTGATTCATTGCCAATGGTGTGGCCGACTAATTATACTAAGTTGGCTAGCAGTACTATGTTTACTTTATTTTGGGGTGGTGATGTATTTGCTCCTAATACAACATACGAAGGCGTAAATGTTAAAGAATTTCTTCAAGAAAAATACGTGAATTGTTATAAACATTTGGCAAGGTGATGTAATGTTTCTAGTGATAATTTAAAACTTACTTTAAATTATTAAATTATTAAATTTTTATAAAATTAAATCAATTAGGCGACTTCAACATTTAGATGCAGTTATAGGATTTGAATTGATGAATGAACCTCATCAAGGATATATTGGTTTAGCAGATTTACATCGATACGATGGAGGAAAGACTTTGGTATTCGGAGACTCACCATCCGCTTTACAGTCATTTGCACTTGGTGATGGTATACCACAAGAGGTTGAAGTATGGATTAAATCATGGCCATTTCCCACTCGCAAAGATAAAACTCGTGTTATTAATGAAGAAAGTGAATCCGCTTGGTTAACCGGTAAATGTATATGGCGCCAGCATGGTGTATGGGACGTTGATGCTAAAACAAATAAACCGAAAGTTTTAAATAAAGATTATTTCTTAAAAAATCCAAAAACTGGAGAAAAGTTGGATTATTATAAGGATTTTTACTTACCTTTCGTGAAAAGATATGCTGAAGGTATTCAAAGTGTCAGCAAAGAATATTTTGTTTTCGTTGAACCACTTCCAAATGAGGTATGCTTTATATTACATTAACAATATTCATTTGTTATAAATACACAATTGACATTTTTTATCTTTTGCTTTTAATTAATTAATATTTTTAGCCTCCACCAATATGGACACCAAACGACCATCATAATAACATTATATATGCACCCCATTGGTATGACTTGAAAGCACTATTTACGAAAACATTCAATGGTAAAATAACACATGATGTTCAACGTTTAACAAAGGTAAGGTAAAAATTAATTATGAAAATGTTTAATGTCTTCTTACAATATAATAAGAAATTATAATATTTCGTTATTTAGGGAGCACATCACATAGCTGCTGCTACATATTTTGGTATATCTGGAGCCAAGAAAAATTATTCTGGGCAAGTTCGAAATATAGTTAAAGGTGGTCTTCAATTTGTAGGAGAGAAACCTTGCATTATTGGAGAATGTGGTATACCTATGGATATTAACGAAAAACAAGCTTTCTTAACTAATGATTGGGTACATCATAGTAATTTCTTGGATGCTGTATTAGGTGCCATGGAAAAGAATCTTGTGAACTTTACGTATGTCAATTATTGCTAATAAAATGTAATATATTTTTATATAATATTGTAATAATAATTTCTCTTTTATTTCACAGATTATGGAATTATAATCCAACGAATGATAATACACATGGCGATCATTGGTATGGTGAGGATTTTTCGATTTATTCACGTTCTATTAACGAAGAAATCACGATTACTAAAACCAAAGAAATAAAGACTGACGAAACGGAAGAATCAATCAATGGAACGATAACAAAAAAAATTCAGAAACTCAAGATACAAACGGACACACTTTCAATTATTAGTTCTAATAAAAATACATATATAAATGAAGAAAATGAGAAGAGTGAATCTGAAATTAGTGATAAAGTCAATAGTCCAAATTCACCAACTTCGCCTTTCGATTTAACTCGAGTACATTTTTTGGAACAAGATGATGAAACTGATAGTGAACAATTTCATCATCAAGGTGGAAGAGTTTTGGAAGCAGTTTTGGTAAATATATTGAACATCTGCAGGAATAGCAACAAATTGATAAATTAATAAATATTTAATTAAATTTTTTTTCTTTTTGGTCAATTTAGCGACCATATGCAGCAAAGATGCCGGGAATTCCACAAATAATGAATTTTAATTTAAAGAATTTAGAATTTATATTTAAATTCACTAATTATCCATTATCACAACAAAGTAATATAAATAGCATAGTAGCACCTGAAGCAGAAATTTATATACCAAATTATCATTATAAAAAACTTTTACTTGATATAAGAGTATCTGATGGCGATTGGAGATACGTTAGAAACAGACAAACATTATATTGGAGAGTTAAAGATTGGACGACCGAGGGAGTTGTACATACTTTAAGAATACGAGTTGTAGAAAATTCAGAAGGAGAAGAAATATCGAAACGTGGTGAATTATTATCAAGTGATTCATTGAATAAAAAGCTAGATATTGATGCAAAACCTGAGGTTGACATATATGCTAAATGGATTGTATCTGCTGTTGCTATGATAATGTTTGCTTATTGGTGGCAAGTTTAACTTTCAATTCTAATCACCCCTTATTCAACACCTATATCCGTTAATGGTTACGAAATAATAAATATTTAATAATTTATACTTTATATAGTTAATAAATGCGTTAAAAAAAATAAAATAAAATAAAATCAAAATAAAATAAAATAATTTTTTTTTAAAGCAATAATAAATTTTGTTATGTGTTAATTGTGCCACATGCGCCAAAAAAATTTACGCAGCATGTGTAACCATACCTAAGGTATTCTAGAAGTTATGACTCATGACTCCAAAGTTATTGTTTCAAATATAGTATGGCTAATTTTGATTGTTCACTAAAATAGAAGTATGTAATAAAGCAAATGACGTCGAATTCCATTATCATTGTATAAGGAATTAAAATTCCTGGCTAATTGGTTATTGTTTAATTAATAAAAAAATTATAAATATGGAGATTGAGGGAACAAATTTAATTAAATTACCTTTTTTTTCAACATTTTTTATTTGATCATGGATGTTATAATAAAAATCAATAAAAAGACAGGAAAAAAATATATACCATGTTACGATTTACATGGATATACCAAGAAAGAAGCATATATTGAAGTAAAAGAAGTAATATTAGAATGTTTTAAATTAAAAATTAATTCAATAAATTTTGTTACGGGTAGAGGAAATCATCCAAATGTAAATGGAGAACGAGGAGTACTTTTTAAAAAATTTAAAGAATGGTTGGAAGATGATGAAATAATAAATTTGGTTAAAAATTATGTTGTTGGAGATGGATCATATAAAGTATACCTTTATAAGAAGAAAAAAAAAATTAATAATAAGGAAACGATAAAGATAGATATTAAAAATGGTTCGATTAAAAGAAAGAATATTTTAGTATTAAAAGAAGAACCTATTTTTGATAAGAATGAAACAAACAAACGGTTGATTCAAATAAAAGAAGAAATAGATAAATTATTAAATAGAAAAGAATCAAATCTTTCTTTAACTAATAGAAAGGAAGAATTAAATCTTCCTCTTAAAGAATAAAATAGTTATATAATATCTTCATTAAATTACAATTTATAATCTTGGACGTACATTATTAAAAAGAAATAACAAGAAGTTAGGAACTGAATTCATTCAAGAAGCTGCAGAAAATGGGTACGAAGCAGCAAAACGCTATCTCGGAGAGGCATATATAGAAGGACGCACAAGATTACAAGAAATCTTTTGAATGGACATTAAATACATATAATAATTTTGAAATAGAATTTTACATTACATTTTTATGTAAGTGGCGAGTATAAAGAAGTTGGTATTATTAACGATAGAATGATAAAGGAGGGCAAATGAGGATAGGACACATAATTTAATCAAGTCGCCTTGAAATTACGATTTTAAGTTTTTACTATTTATTATATATGAAATATGTTTTTTTATGAATTATGAAATATTTTTCATTTAAGTTTTTTATGAATTATGTATTTAATTTTTTTCAATTCTAAGTTTTACTTTTAAATTTTTCAAAAATATTATTCAACATACAGTAAACACTAGACACGTAAATAAATTCTTAACCAATCTAAAATCATCGAATTTTATTTATGTAAAATTTTTTTTTTGAAGCATATATATATGTTTTTTAGATATCAATGGCGAAAGTTATCCAATTAGATAATAGCATAGCCCATTTGAATTTTACTGTGCCACTTCTTGAATATAATAAGCGTATTACTTTATTTCAAAAATATAAAAAAAATCATTTTTTTTTTAATTTAATTTTACCAGGTAGTATTGAAAGTTTAATTTTTTCTTAAAAAAAAAAATGATTATAACAATTATAAATTTTAAAACAAAAATGAAATTAGCTTTTTATATTATAATTTCTACGTTAATTATATCATTTGTTGACGCGCATGCGCTAGAATAAGTGGTGAATACCAAAGATCCAATAAAAATCCGAATTTTAGTGCTAATATTCTCATATATAGAATCATTTCCATATAATAAAGAATTAGCCGAAAAAGTTAATTTCATTTAAATTACACCATTTATATTAACATAATCACTTATCATGTTTTATTTATAACTCTATATTTTCGTAGACCATCGAAACGATAAAGAAAACTCTTCAGGGATTTTATGTATTTTTATCAGAAGCCAGGGAAGAACCCAAAAGGATTTTCGTTTAAAGCTGTCAAAGAACTAGATCGATTATTATCAAAGAATTACACAACAGACTGGTAAGTAAAAAAAAATGTACTTTGAAAATAATAAATAAATTGTATTAACTCTTTAAAATAATCTAGACAGGTATACATAATTTAATTTCGAAATTTTACTCCAATATGTTATAAAGGTCCATTCTTATATAATCAGCGACTTTCAATGTATTCTGTAATTAATAAGGATAACGTACAAATAATCAAAATATTTGATGATGAAATAGACAATAGTACGATTGATTAAGACCTTCAATGGAGGTTATTAAGGAATTCGCAGAAACGTTACCTATTTCAAAAGATGCAGGAGTAAGTTCGAACTAGCTTCACATTCGATAATCAAAATTTACCAAATTTACTCCAATTTTTTTCTGATGGTCGCAAAGTTTCGGTAGCTTCAACTCGACTTTCGTCTAGAATCATCGATTTCGGTAATTGGATTTTCAGAATCTTCACCTGTAAGCCTGCAAGCTTTGATTTAATAATATTTGACGATGATGATTTCGTGTTGAAGGGAGCTCGTAAAGTATTCGGTGAAGATGACGATGATGATTTCGTATTGAAGGGGACTCAGTGAAGATGACGATGATGATTTCGTATTGAAGGGGGATCGTGAAGAGTACTTCACGATGGCGTGTTGGAGGAGGTTCGTAAAGCAGTTTCTTCCTCATCAAAATTAGGAGGGATGAGATAAAAAACATCTCTTTCGTCTCTTTCGGTTTCGTCTTTTTCTTTTTTTTAGTATTTTTTGATGTATCCTTTGACATATTTAAAAAAAATATGACTTTTCTTAATTAATATTGATTTTTATTAATTTCCAACAATAAAAGCAAATGGCCATATGACTCTTATAAATTCTAGGTCGGTAATAGACAGAATTAACCATCGTACCTTCCCCAGATCCCGCAAATAAGCAGAATCGGTGATATACATTAAGTTTCTTCTTCTTTGCCCATAATTCTTGTAATGGAATTCGCATATTTATCGCCCAGGAAGTTAAGGTCTGTCCAGGCTTCACAATTGATAATTTGTCAAATTCCTTTTCCGTTTCAGTTATTTCATTCTTCTATTCGTCAAAATGACTATAACCATATCCTTGATTAGTATTAGCAGCACGCATGCAGAGTACAGACCATAAATATGCACGAACGCAATCCATATCATATCCAGGGCGATTATTGACAGTTCTAGGGAGATCATATCCTTTTCTACTCATTTCATGTTCGATTACAAGAATTCTGCCATATTTGTAACAAACTGTATCTGGAGAGATATTCGAAATAAATTTAGACATTTTAGTGATTTATAGCTGATTTACAGAGTTTATCACAGTATCAGTGTTATACGATGATTTACGATTCATTTTTGTCCTGCGGTCCGCAGAATTGCATGGTTAATCTGATTGGTGATGGCTAAAAAATCGAGGAATAATCGGCGTAAGACAATGGGTAAGTTTACTACTAACCCTACGCCGGTATTACAGAAAGGAGTATGGTCGGGTCAGGGTGTTGAGTAGCGTATGGTGACATTTGGCGGTGTGTAACATAAGGGGTGTGAACCATACGCAGGTGATGTATAGCATCTCGGCCCACTCGAATTCACCCTACGCAGTATATTCCTCGCGGCCAAGTATAATTACATATACGATAGGGCAACAGATTTTATTACGGTCAAGAATATAAGACAAGATAGAGTAATAGGCGTGTTTGATTACTCCGAACTTTGCGATTATTTGGGATTTCGATGCTAGAGGTCCGGAATGTCGATCCACAGCTCAGAGGATGTTCGTTGAGCCACATGCATGTACTCTTGTGCGACAAAATAAACGGTCACACGGCAGATCTGTGCAACAGGTTACTTTTTCACATAAAATAAACATAAAATTCTTTTTACTCTTAACAATAACATTTCGTAAAAAACAGTATAAAAACCGTCTTTGTTTTGTCTTGTTAAGGGTAATACAACAGCGAACGCTTTCTCTGTCAAAATAAGTAGGGACGAGCCTGTTAGCGAGCTCAAGAAGGCTATTAAGGCGGAAAAAGCACTAAAGTTCGACCATTTTCTTGCAGACAAGCTCAAGCTATGGAAGGTGTCGATCCCTGGCGATCACCTTGACGATCAGTTGAAGAATCTCAAGCTCAATGACAGTGACGAGCTGTCAGCAATAAAGAAGATTTCGAAATACTTGCCTGACTCACCAGCCGAGGAACATATTCATGTCTTAGTTGAACCACCGTCTCGACTGCCACTTCGAGCCGCGAACAGGAATTACTTGATCGCATCTCAGTGTTGGAGAAATCGTTCAGCAAGTCTGTCTATGGTATGTATTTTTATCCTCCAGTCCTTCGGTCTGACCTGAGGTTGCTGAAATATTCAGGACACGAGACTAACCTGTTGTTGCATTACAGCGTTCGATATCGTCGTTAGCCCGAAACGAACTAAGGGTTTCAAGTGGACAGTGGATATCGATAACGCAACTCTTGATGGCCTCAAAGAATACATACGTGAAATGGAGAAACCGCCGACACTTGAAAATGATGGAGCAGTTCTAAACTTCATAAGAGATATTCACCTCGGAACGATCAAGACCTCTGCTAAATGCTCCGGCTATTCGTATCAAACAACAGCTTCAAGTTTACTGTACTCATTGAGACTCCCTCGAAGCCCTTCAACGAATGGACCTTTCCGAAAGTGTGTGAACTCTACGGTCTTAGCGATGATCCGAATCCTAGTATCGACGTGTATCCCGTTTTTTCGTGTGGCAGTGCGAACACTGAGAATGAGAAATATAAAGAGGCGTTACGTAAACTTTTTGACGAATTGGAGACTCGTGTTGCAACCACTCCTATTGACGTGTCTTATGAAGCCACCAAAAGCAGAATCTATTCATATACCTATCTCGTTTCCGCTACTTACCCGTTCAAGGATCAAGTCAAGGTCGTACCGGAGAAGTTGATCGAAGGGAAAAATGGGCGTGGGAATCTCAAAGCCAAGATATTAGAGAAATTATGATAGATGGAAAAGAAGTTAGCTGACGTCATATTTATGATTATACTATTTGAAATTCAACAAAAATTATAAGAGCGACTCCTTTATCATTTATAATTTAAAAATATAATAAAAAGCTTTGATTTTTTAAACTTGTTTGCGTGATGCGTAATTTCGTATATATGTTCTCATAATATAAACTTTGCAAGAAAACATTTTATTGTTACAGATAAAAAATAAATACAAATCGGATCATTACACCTGTACATGCAAAAAATAAATACAAAGAATCGGGGCTAGCCCGTGATACATCAGAAGTTACTACGTCTCTATCCCATTAGCCTAATTATTCCCCGCAAGATTGCTAACGCCTTTTGTGACTCCTCCAACAACCAAATAATATGACCAAGAACCTTCTCTGCTCCTTCATATCCTCATCTTCGTACGCAACAATAGAGGTGGCTTCGTCAACTCAAACGATAGTTTCCCTTCATCGTCTTGCGAACATTCCATAAAGTACCATTTTTCTGCATCCGTCACAATTCCCCATACTTTATTAAACCCAGGTTCATTTCGTTTGCTTTGCGCTTACGACCTAGCGATGATTCCAGCTGTACAGTAGCTTGTGCGAAGCCCTGCTTAAAGTCATCCTTTTTGACTTCGATCAAACCCATGATTCTCCCGGTTGTACGTGATTCAAAACCATAGTCGACTTTTTGAAAGATTGTTTCGAAGTTTTTCAAAAACACGTGTGGAAATTTCATCATGTCACCCGAAATGCGCAGAATATTATTGTTTAATTGTTCAAATCGAATGATGTTATTATTAAAATACATTAGGGGTTTGATTATCAGTATTACAAAAGATTAATTCGTAGTCAAATATAATCAATACAAAAAGTTTAATATATAAAGTGATTTATTAACGAAAATTTTCTCATATATATTAATTTCTACAAAAAATTTTATTTCTTCTACGTTCATTATTTTCGTATCATGTCTATTTCTGCTAACTGCAGCCTCGATTTCAAAATCGGAGCCATCATGACAGGTTTGTGATCTTGTGCGACAAAGATCTAATTTTGTATTTCCTCACTTACTAATTTATAAATATTCCACTATGGTCATTTCTGACAATATAGTTGAAATACAAAGTAAAATAAAGCCGAAAAAAACGAAACATAATAACTATTTACAACAAGCGTTTAAGCTTGGAATCATTAAGAAAAATAGTACGGTAAAATATAAAAATGTGATAGTTGAAGTTTCAGTTCTGGATGAACATGCAGCCTTGCTCTATGAAAACCATCCTTATTACTCTTTTTATAAGTTCATGCTCGCATTTAATAAGGTACGAACACTCATTTTACTGCAATTTTTAAGTTTTAATTCCGGAGGAATCCGCTTCATGGGTTTGATATTTATAAATTTTATACTTCAAGCATGCTCGATACAGTAAGCTTATCATTGATGAAATTCCGTATTATAATTTTCGAAAAGAACTAAAAATAAAGGGTGAGTAAATTTTTATAAACACTTCTGACCTTCAAACATCATTAATTAAACGACTTTAAATAATTTAAAGAGAAAACTTCACGTATGTATACAATTCCATTGTCAATTTCGTCAACCACACCCCGAACAAAATTACATGATGAACCAACAAGCGACAGTTTTGATCATGAAATCATGAAGTATTTCATTGGTTATGGTTTTGAACAAAGCCTTGTTAGGTCCTTTATGGATAGGGAGGCTCACCTTGACTTAAAAACCAACTCAGAAATAATGTTAGATTTCCTTGAAGAACGCCAATATATTGACCCAACAATTTTTATTGGCGTCGAGGGAAATAGTGGTGTAGCATCAGGTGAAGATAAGAGCTTGCTTATGAAGTGGGGTCTTACAGAAAAAGCCGCAAGTGAACTCCGTAATAGCGTGATTGATGATACACTCTGGTGCAAACAAATTTTATATCATTGGTTATTCGAATGGATCCTCAATCCATGGGGTTCTTTCTCCCAGATGAGTTTCCATGACATTTTTTATAATGCACAATCTCCACGCAACCAATGGAACAGTTACGATAGGAAAGGTGGGCCACAAATGTTTGCCTCATCATATGATGATATCGCTGCTAAAATAGATGAAATTCTAAGTAACAACACGAAAGTCTCCAATGTCAATTCGACAAATTCTACACGACGTGCTTACTTCCACGCAACCAATCAACAAAGTGCTCAATCGATTAGTAAAAATGGAATCAAGCTTGGATATAGCAAACATAGTCTCGATTTTGGGTTTAATCCTAGTTTTTACCTGAACCCAGATATAGGCAACGCAATTGACTGGATTAAGCCTCGTAAAGGATTTAATGCAATTGTAGTATATTGGGTTGACGTTGAAAAAATACAAAGCATGAAATATCGGAATCTAGTTACTGAAGGAGACGATGTATGGAAGAAGGTGGTGGTTGCATCGAGATGTGCCCAAAAATCGGAAGTAGACAAAGATGACTTTGTCTACGGATACCAACTGTCAAACCCAAGGCAAATTCGTTCTGAATGGGAAGATCGTGGAAGAGAAGTTGAGTTTTCATGGCAGAATGTCATTCCCAGTGCTCGATGGTTTGAACCTATTCGACACCTTCAACTTGCTGTTAAAACACCCGATGCAGTAGAGCTTATGGACAGCTATTGTGTTGGTGTTATTTATTTTCATACAGATTAGGGAAATAATATTTACTGAAAACCGCAAAAATGAACTCTTCATTAAAAAATAATCAATTACCAAAGCGAAATTGATTACTAGCCAAAATTTGCAAAGTATATTCAGAAATATATAATATAAATTTCAAATATTAATATAATAGCTAGAGTAGTAAAAAATGTATTGTTAATAAAGTAATAAAGTGAATATTATGTGTATAAACGTGTGATGTTCATAACACACGCACGTTCAAAAAAATCAAAGCAAAGCATCTTATTATATTTTTGAATTACATGATAAGGAGTATATATAAAATGAGCGGTTAATGGATGTTTAAAGGGAGGAATAAAGCATAAAAGATGCCTGCCCCCCTAGACGTCTTTTACATAGTAAAAGTATGGAGTTCCTTCCCGCTATTCCGCATTACTATCTAAGTTTTCGTTAATTTTACTATCAATCCATAAACAAATATCATCTAATGTACTTATCTGTTATGTACTAATGTAATCATCTTTCTTCTTGATATTTCTCTCATAAAACCTTTGAACCGTATTCTTTTTGATTTTCCCTCCAAGTTCACGGATTTCCATTGCGACATGAAGGCACATCTCTTCCAAATTAAATCTTTTTCTTCCTTTATTTGATCGAAAAGTTGCTGAATCGGGTCCAGATAGTTAAGCTTATTCCTCTGAATGTTATTGGACCCGAGCCTGTAATATATCGAATTATAAGTAATGATAACATAGATGGAATATTAATTCCGGATTGCTTACCAGAACTTCCAGACGAACTTGTCCCTTGGACCGTGATTGGCTCGATGTTTCTGATTGGCCAACCGTGCTCATTTGATCAGTTTCGATTGGCTGAATTCTTCGGGCAACTGCATATTGACGAATCATTTCATTCTGGAGAACTTCGACATTAGGTCTCGTAGAGTCGTAGTTAAGGTTATTAACCATCGATAAGATTTTCTGCGCCTCTTTTGTGATGTCATCATCATGTGCCTTCGATTTCATTGGCGATTCTAGTGTCATGTGCAGTGATTTCATCGGAATTTTTGTCGGAGAAATTGCCACATGGTATCGCTGGACTAAAGAGTAAAAAAAGCAGTGGGTATGTCCCAAAATGACATATTTCCCGAAGAGCTGAATGATGGCCTTAAAGGAACCTGTTAAACTGGACATTATTAGATACGCAGTAAAGTTTATTGAGTATGTTTACTTGTCATATTTTTTAGATAATAACAGGTAAAGATCTTTTTACAGTTGCAAAACAAGGCTCTTTTATACTTTATTCTTACTGTGTATGGGAATGGGAATTTAACCCGTTCTACTTAGTTGGATTATATTTTTTTTCTATTAGTAAGTGATGCTTTAAGTATTACATTATCGCTAAATAGAAAATTCGTCTTTCGAATCACTCCAAAAACAGAAATCCATATGTGGAATGAATGCTATTTACCCTATTCTGATCTGTAATACGAAATAATGTACGCAACCTTATTCCAAATCAGTTTAATGTGCGATTTAACTATATGCGTAATTTTGAGATAACAGGTTAACAGTTAAATAAACAGCAAATCGGGATCTTGCGAGCCCTCTTCAGCAATAGAAACAATAGGTTGCGCTCGAATCCTGTTATCAATACCGTTTAAAGGCAATGTCAAACAATAAATCTAATGTCCTGGTCTGTTTGGGATAGAATTATACATGTAATTTTTAGCTGTAATACGCGAGCAAAATACATGCCAGAACTTTCAGGAAAACGATTTTATTGGCCAGTATTTTTACATGTATGACTTGTTTTTAACACCATATTTTACATATGATAAACCCGTTAACAATGTCTAGACAATGTTAACAGGTTTTATATCACGTGTTTCAAAACATGACAAAAGCACCATTGGCTACTTTATTTATTCATTACAGCAAACTGATACATAAAAGAATGAATTCATTCTAAGATATTGCACAAGTGTTTGACCATATTATGCTTGTACCAAGATTCTTTCTGTTTGAGTGTCTGGTCCTAAAGGACCTCTGATTGAGTGATTCAAGTCAACAGATTTATTGTCCATTTTCCTTGTCAAGGCTAAAGTCTATGTCATTGAATATCTTAATATCCCATCCATTATTTTATCATCAAGACCAAAGTCAATGTCAGGCTTTGACTTAATTGCCTCTAATACTTTTAACCTTGCTATTTTTTCATGCATGATGAGTTCTTCATGAATCTACTTGTTGTAATCAAAGTCAAATTCGTCATGATCAGAATCAGAAAAGCTTACTCTGCTTTCTTCCTTAAGCATCTTTTCAGCAGGAAATGATCTTCTTCCATGATTCCTGCTAAACAGACATCAAGGTCAAAGTTATTGTCGCACTTATGAACATCAGTGGAAGTTTAAAATGTAGATGAAAATATGATTTGTAGAGCATTATCAGACAAGATTTTTCCAGAATGAGACATCTTAGAAATTTTGGTTATGTGCCCTTTTAAAGATGTCTAACCTTTACACGAAAAGTACTCTATAAGCTCTTGAATTTGATTATTAGTAAACTCTGAAATAGAATTTGCACTATATGTTTTTATAAATTTGATTTTGTTAAAGCCTATCTTACTGAATAAATTATAAAGCTTCTCAGCTCTTTATATTTCTTGTATAAACTATCTTATAATACCTCATGAAGTTATAGTCTTAAATAATCTTAAGATTTTTTTTTACACAGAATAAAAAGCTGTTTAAAAATGGAATTATAAAGCAAGCTTTTTGCCTTCTTTTTACCAAATTTATCTTTACCATTTGATAATTTTATCAAGCTGAACTCTGAAATCTTGTGTATAGAAAATTCAGCATAAAATTTCTTCTTGGTTGGCCTTTATTGCAGTATTATAACCTTATTATACATATACTGTATGTTAGATGTTGTGATACTGTATATAGGCTGATTTGTTTACTCTGCATTAAAAATTGATTTTCACAATTCTTGTTACTCAAAATTTTTTATAATACCAAAAAATCATCTGATTGATGATTACTTGACTAAATAATAAGTTAAACAAAAATTTACATTTGCGAAACTTAAATTATTAAATGTAAAAGAGCTGTGAAAAAACCCATTTCACTAATAAAAAACCCATTTCTCATATATATGGAATTTTTAACATATATTATTAAAAAGTAAATATATTTTAATAAAATGTAAAGTAAAATAAAAATTTATATAGCCTTAGTAACTATAAATGTTTATAAAAGTATAATAAAAATATCATATAAAAGATGGTATCATAATAGATATTTTCAAACAATAAAAATAATTATTTTATGTCAAAGTTTGTATTATCAACTTTAAACACAAATATATCAAGATTCACTGATCCGTTTTTTATAATTTTAGACTCATTGGAAAGCCCTTATTCTGAACTTTATAGGCGAAAAAAGAGCTCGCTGATTGAATTATTAAATCTGGAAATATTTACGTTTAAAGTTAAAGTACGAACTTTTTAACATGCTTAAATGTAAATATCTTGGTATCTAGTATCTACTGATCCATTTTTTATAAATTTAGGCTCTTTGAAAAGATCCACTGATCTATTTTTTATAAATTTAGGCTCTTTGGAAAGCCCTTGATCTGGTCTATATGAACGAAAAAATAGCTTGTCAATTGGATCACTAGATCTGAAGATATTTATATTTAAAGTTGAAATACAAATTTTTAACATATATAGTAAGTGCTATGAATTATATTAATTTAAAAGAAATATTTATCAAATTATAGTATAATAATATTAAATAAAAATTTTTTAATACTCATCCCTAATTTACTGTATATTATATAGTATTTTGTATAATAAAAATGTAATAAAATCAATATTTTAATTAAAGATAGACAAATTAGCCCATATGCATTATATATAGTCTAACCTTAATACACTGATATTTGATATATCAATATACTATTAAAAACTTGATATACCAATAAAATTTTATTTTTCTACTATATGTGAGAACATATAAATATCAGTATAACTTTGGTATGACAATATTTTTTAGAAATTTCATATAATTATGTCCTAATATATCATTATATAAAGGTTTAATTGTATATTATTAAGGGTCCAGTATATTACGTCATCATACTTACGGCAAAAATCATATGATATGGATTTGCAAAATGTTCCACAATCAAATGTTCACGTAACTTTGTGAAACACAGATAAATTATACCTTATTCAACTCGGCAAAACTCCGGCTATCCAATGGTATATTATTAATACACGTTATTAATAAGGTAACCTAAAAAAGTTGGTTTAATTACTAACTAAAGTTGCAAATTCATTATTTGTGATATAGCTTTGTTCGCGCAAATTGAAAAATATGCAAAAAATGTCATTTTACAAGTCAAAAATACTATCCAAAATAATAAAATTTGGTAGTTTTATTATTTTAAAAAAAATGTACTCACAATCTACCTATCTATATATCTTATATATATTAGAAAATGGCCGAGCTTCGTTGGTACCAAAAGCTCTCTTCTAATGACAGATATCAGGTTTTTTCTCGAACGAATAGGTCACATTTTGTGTTGGATACTTCACAACTCTAGCAAGTTATAGACATTCATGAACAATTTCAAGATATAACCGTTAATTCCCAAGCAGGATATTATTATATCAAAGTGGATAATGAAAGGATCTGGGTACCACTTTTACCTGGCTATACGATTTACACTGCTTTTGGAGACAACATTTTCAAACTTTTTATTGAACATTCCAATCAACTGTTATTTTCTTGGGTTAATTTTGGAACAGATGTAAATTGTACTACTCCTATAGCATCAAATTCTCAGCCCGACCATTTTTAAAGTTTCATAAAATATATCAATCCTAGTGGTAAATTGTCAATTCCTTCCACAATAGCCCAATAAAAAGTTTATGTTGGGTTTTTGTAAAAAAAATGTAAGATAAGTTAATATAACAAATTTAGTACAATTATGAGCATCCATTTGTACAATATCTGTAATATTTTCGTATGGTATTTGAAATAAATTTGTTATAAACATGCATTATTTTTATATAGCATTTGAAAGCAATTTATTATAAATTTGCAATAGACTTGCACTTTGTATTTGTGGTTTTAGTTTATTCTTCTAATTTAAAATATAATAATCTATTAAACTCGCTTTTTTTGGCTTGTGCTTTTGACCAGAGGTGGCAATGCTGATGCCTGAAATTATGTTTTCAATGTTATTCAAAATTCTAATATTGTAGTAGGTTATGTACTAATTATATCAGTAATTTTACAGCTGATATATTCGAAGATTTTGTGATAAACTCTGTGCTAATATCAAGAATAATATACACATGTATAGAATCCATAAGAGAGGTGCTGGTAGGAGGGTTATCTGTTTGAGAAGGGGAAGCTGTATCAACCAAAGAGTTGGGTTGGTTTCGGAAGTGATAACAGTGTTAGTAATCATATTAAGGAGGAGGAGGAGCTGTAGAGTTATCATCAGCATCATAAAGTCATTAGTGCAGGCTCCATATCAAACTTAAAAAGGATATGGAAAATTCTAGCAAATTAGAACTTTATGAACTAATAAAATTAAACAAATTAATACCTTACCATTGTGAACTTCAAGGGAGTTTGGTTAACTTTAAAAGGTATAGTTGCTAGAATTGTTAAGGAAATGGTTACTTCTAAGGTTATAGGTATGGAGTTCCGATCCAAAACCACATTCTGAAAAAAAATTTACTTTGGAAAAGATGCTTTGATATGCGGAAGAATATAGAGATAAATGTGATTAATCAAAAGTGATTATGAAGATTTTGACATTGAAGCTGATGATTAATATGAAGTTAAAAATTTTAATCAAATTCATATTAAAATGCAGAACGTGTCTTAAAACATAAGCAATAAAAGTTATAGATAAAATTATTTAAATAGTACATGCCTCAAAAAAAATTTTTTATATTCATATTGGTGTATCAATTTTCGGATTATATCATTATGTCATTATAAAAAATAGAAATTATGGAAGGGATGAAATGAATTTATTAAATATGATTTTTAGATTTGTTAGTTATTTAAATAATAAAATAAGATGCGTAAAAAAGGGAGGAATAAAAGGAATAAAACAAAAAGGGAGAAATAAAACAAAACGCGTAAAAAGGGAGAAATAAAATAAAGACGTGTAAAGTAAGAAGAAATAGAATCAAGATGTATAAAAAAGGGAGGAATAAAATCAAGAAAATCAAGACACGTAAAAAAAGGAGAAATAAAATAAAGACACGTAAAGAAAGAAGGGAAAATAAAACAAGATATACAAATAAGAGAAATAGAGAATAAACAAAACATGTAAGAAGGGAGAATAGATACTTAAAAAAGATAAAAATGCGTAAAAAAGGAGAATAGAAAGCAAGGAATAAGATAACATAAAGAATAGTATAATAAGAAAAAGGAAAGAATAGTATAATATATAAAAGGATACGGTAATAAGATGCACAAAGTAAGGGGGATAGAGATGTGTAAATAAATATTTGTTATTTACGTACTTCAAAATAAACGAAGTATATCATTACTATTTTAAGTTAAGTATTCCAAATTTACCGAACTTCAATCTAAAATTGAAGTAAACAAATAAAATTTTTTTTAAGAACTTTTTCTCTAACACAAATTTCAAACAAATTTAGAAATCATACAATTTTTGTTTATTAAATGTCATAAATTTTAATAAATCTTACAATAATTATACGTTTAAACTTTATAAAAAAATAAAATATGTTTAAATATAACAAATACTATACAAAAATTAGACAATTATTACAAAAACTGAACAAAAACCATATGAATTTTATACGATGACTTTTTACTGGGTAGGTATTAATATTTCATCTATTGTCAAAATGTTAAAAGATGCTGTACATAAAAAATATCCACAATTATATCCGGAATTGCAAGTTTTTACTAAAGCGCAAGGAACAACAGAAAAAATGATCAGAACAATTGAAAAAAAAGGAAAACGTCTTAGATCAGAGCTACAATCAACATCAACAAGTGAATTAGTTCGTGAAGGCATTTACATGACCAGTGATGCAAAGCCAGTAAGCTCTGAAAGTTTTTACGTAGTATTGTCTGAGTATAAAAATGCAAAAAATAAATTATACAATGCAAACCGGCAAATTAAACGGATAAAAGTACAATGTGATCATTATTTTAATGATATGGAGGAGAAAAATAATGATGATAATAATGATGAATTATTGGCGTTAACAATTCAAGATTCCATAAAAAAAGAAAAGCTTGGCTCAACACTATTGATAAGCACTGAACAATATTTTTCTTTAATATTGCAGCAACCTTGTGATTCTTGTGGAGAAACAAAAATCACCAACAAAAAATGGGATATTTTAACATCAGGATTCTCCACAAAAATAGTTATTAAATGTCGAATTTGTAAAACTATCAAAGAATTTTCTAATGAATCAGCAGAAGCAAATTTCAATGCTTGCTTTGCTACTGCGGGTCTAGTTGGTGGAATAAATAAACAATCATTACAAATGACTTTTATGTGTGCAGGTATTACATCACAACTCTGTAAAGCTACTTACCATAATTATCAAGCCATAACTTTTGAAAAGATTGTAGAATCAGCTGAAATAAGCAGTAAAATGGCTTTGCAAAGTGTAATTGATCACCACAAATCACAAGGAAAATATACTCTACCCGTGAGCTTTGATTGCTCTTGGTCTCATGTTCGTAATGCTCAACAGGCTAGTGGTGAAATGATATATGATGGTAAAGATGTAAAAGGTAAATATTCTTTGTTTTTTTTAAAAAAAAAGGTGGTCTAATTTTTGTAATAATTATTATTTTGCTATATTAGGATATTCCTACAAACCTGTGATCGCATTTCATGTTGTTGAAAAGTCTCGCAAGATCAAAAAAAAGGATGGAGAAGTCAAAATTATAAGAGAGGGCAACTTTGATTTGAGTTCTCGTCAAATGGAACACGCCATTCTGATCAGTATTCTTGGAAAATTAACTCCAGTTTTGGAAGAACATGACTTGCTCATAAATGTTACCATTGATGGTGATTTAGATTCTAACAAAACCTTGGGAAGTATTGGAGTTGTTAACCAAATTTTTGCTGATCTCAAGCATGTTACTAAAAATATTCGCAAAAACTTGTGTTAAGTAGTAAATAATTTTATTTAATTGATTGTGAATTTTTGAACGAACTCTAACTGTTAATTAATTTATATCATTTATTTTTGTAGTGAACAAATTTCCTCAATGGCGTGATTTTGAACAACATATTATGCTTTATTTTACTAGTTGTGTATATACTGCAGGTATTCAAAAAAGCGATAAAGAAAATTGTTCTTTACAAGAAAAAGATATTCGTCATGTACAAACAGAAGGTCTTTTTCAACATCTTTGTGATAATCATGAATTATGTTGGCCAGAAGTATATTGGATAAAGAATAATCCTGAACTGCAGCTTTTGGAACCTACTCTCAAATCCTATACTCCTTCTCAACGTGAAAAGTTCAAATCCATGTTAGGAACAATCTTTCGTCTTCCTATCAACCAAGACATTGGCACAAAAATGCGTACATCACAAAATAAAGCATTTAATCGACTTAAACTTGTCTATCTTGATAAAAGAATTGATTATTGGAAATCATATCCAGTAAGACATGCCCTTGCGATTTTACATAACAATGAAGGAATTACTAAAATGATGAATGTGGCTCGTTCAGCTTGCAATGTTATTTTATCTGATCAGGATCTTGCCAATATAAGTATGGTTGAAACAGAACGGAATCAACAACGTTTACGTAAAGTTGCAGATATTTAAAAACGAAACCAAGAGCGAGCAGATAAATTGAAAAATAAACGAGATGATCTTGAAACATTTGATTGGTCCCAGGTAATTTATATTATTTATTATATGTTATATATTTTTCTAAACTTTTTCCAATAATCTTGCTTATTTTTTTTACATTTTCTATTTTATTTTTCAAACCTTCTTGCTTTTTTTCTTTTTCTTAAATTTTTTTTTTTGAATAGGAACTTGTACCTTATGGCAAAAGAGCCCAATACAATATTGATGCAAAACAATTCCATCCTTCTTTTGCTTTACATATACCAGACTTTAATGAGACGATGAAATGTATTGCTTGTCATGCATTTCTGAAATGTACAGCAAAAGGTCTCTGTCGTGTTTGTCGTTTCTATATTGAAAATGGATTATGGAATCAAATTGTTGATAAAAATTATCAACCCAAGATTGAAAAACCTGTCAATATCAGCTTCGAAATAATGTGTACATCAGCACTACATGGTATTTACCAGTTTAATGATTTTCGGAGTGGGCAAAAGGAAGCAATTCAATCTTTTGTACAAAATCAAGATACGGTTATTATAAAACAAACAGGTGGTGGTAAAAGCTTGTATTATACCATAGCAGCACTTCTTTCACAAGGAATTACTGTCATATTTTCTCCTCTAAAGGCACTTATTGATGACCAAGTAATGGAATTAATTAAAGCAGGAATTCCTTGTTGTGGTCTTTATGCATCAACAGAACAACCATTGCAATATCAAAAAAAGATTTTTGAAGAAATTGCTTGTGGGTTAACTAAGGTTGCTTGTCTAAACCTCTTCAAAATCCTACGATTAGTTTCGTCAAAATTTTACTATAGATTTATTATAGTTTCAGCAGAGTTTTGGCAGTTTCGGCATTTATAATAAGTTTTGGCAGTTTCACCTTTCTCCAAAGTTTCGCCAGTTTTTTAATATAACTTTAATATAGTTTCAGCAGAATTTTGCTTTTCGGCGAAACGCCATCTTGCCTAAACCCCTAGGTTTCAGCAAGCAACCTTAGGGTTAACACGAATTATATTTACAACTCCTGAAAAGTTTTAAATGAATGCAGGTTTTAGATCCATGCTACAAAGATATAGTACAACAAATGGCATCAGATTTGTAGTGGATGAAGCACATTATATTTTGGATCAAGAAAATTTCTGGTAGGTTATTCTTGAATATGGAGAATTTGGCGTTCTTTTCTAATCAAAATTCTTTTATTAGTAAGTCATGGGCTTATCTCAGAAATCTTAAAGAACTTTTTCCTTCTTCACCCATTTTACTTCTTACTGCGACTTGCCGTCAGATTGATTTACAGGAAATTACTTCACGACTTGAGATAAACTACCAACAAGCCTCTCTTATTCGTAATATATCTTTTGAAGATAATCAAATTGTTTATGAAGTGCAAAAAAAAAAGGAAAATAAAGCACAATTTTTGAATGAGATTATTAATATATATAATGAAATAGAGACTGGCAAATGCATTATATATTGCCCTTCTGTGAAAGGCTGTGAAAACCTTATCATTGAACTCCAAACCAAAATATCAAAAGAAATAATTGCTATGTATCATGGTGAATTATTTGCCAAACAAAAATCAGCCGTTCTTTTTGATTGGAAATCTGAAAAAATTCGAATAATGATTGCCACAAATGCATTTGGAATGGGCGTCAATGTTCCAGATGTTTGTATAGTAATTCATACAGGTTTTCCGATGTCTATAAGTAAGTTAAAAAAATAATCTCACTCTATAATATAAGTTGATGCAACACGTTTTTTTATAGGCAATTTAGTACAAGAAAGTGGGCGTGCAGACTGTGATGGATTGCCTGCAAAGGCATTTATTATGTATAGTCGAAAAGATATTAGAACGATAATGGGAATTTATTCAAATGGACAACCCAGGTAAATATTATATTTTTTATCTAATGAAATGTACAATATTTATGGTAAAATTAATTACAAGAAAATTGATGTGAAATCTATAAGTATCGATGCTAATGAAGAAGGAGGAGAAAAAGAGTCAATAGAGCGTACTAAATATTTATCTGAAGCAAAACATAAAATTCGAGAAGTATTGTTTTATTGCTCTTCAATTTATCAATGTAGAAAAAAAGCCATTGTTGACTATTTTGCATGGCCAGAGAATTTGGCATCAAGAGAATGTAATATTTGTGATAATTGTCTTTGCCGTGCATCTGATAATCCAGTTTGGGTTGATATTCGAGCAGATGTGAAAAAAATGTTAGAGATAATAAAGGCTATTACAAGTGAAAGACAGCAAATAATAAGAAACAATGTAATTGATGTATTCCATCAGTTTCAAGCAAAAGAAATTAAAAATAAGTTCAGAGAGATGCCTGTTTATTTAGAAAAGTTTTCAAGAAAACTTAAAACTAAAGAGGATGCATTTTTATTATTAGATGATTTAGTTTTACGAGATCTTGTAAAGGAGGATATAATTTTGACAAAATCGCCAACAGCATAAACATTTACTTGTAGCGTATTTATTATTGGTATTGCAGATGGAGCCATTGCTAAAGCTAATACTGAAATTTGGCAATACCTAATAAGAACTAATCGATAATATAATAATAAGAACTAATCGATAATAATAATAATATAATAATAATAATGAAAAGAATAATAATATAAATAATAACGATAATAGTAATAGTAATAACAACAATAGTAATAATAACAATAGTAATAATAACAATAGTATTAATAAAATTATAATATTTTAGTATAGTAATAAAGTAATAATAACATAAATATTTTTTATCCTATAAAAATAAAAAAAAATAATAATAAACGGTGTTATTAATGTAGGCCAAAATTAATTTCAGCTGGCATTGTGCGTAAATAATAATCTGAAATGATCATCATTTTTTTTACCATATTAGCTATATATTTTGATGACGTAATATACTGGACCCTTAAAAATCACGTGATATTGATGATGATCGCTTTTAGCGATTTATAGCAATTTTATAATTTATAATATAAATTATATAAAAATTTGTTTATTAATATAAAAGTAATAAAGCATTGCAAAAAATTTAAATTATATATTACTATATATCACAAGCTATAGTACCTTTCCTATGTATAGTAACCTTCTTGAAAAATTTTATATAATTGTATACTACCCAAGGGGATATATTACAATTATCTCATGATTCAGTAATCAGATTTAAGTAATCTTTTTTTTGTTTGATAGCTTTCATTGAGCTCTTCAAAATAAAAAAAAATTGCTTAAATTGGACTGGTAGATTATGAAATATTTGTAAAAAACAGAATTTTTAAATTTTGTTTAGTACCTGGGGTTATATATGAAGTCGAAATTAAAGCCCAAAAGTAGAAATATTTCGACTTGGGAAGGTCAAAAGTCAAAATTAAAGTCGAAATGGTCAAAATTACATCATAGTCATGTGATTTTTATAATTATAATTTAATATAAAATTTTAAATGTGAATAATTCCGTTAATATTAATGCTACAGATATGAAATACATATTATTGGAATCCTCTCAATGAGCTGAATCCAACCACGTAAAGATCATAAAAATTGAATCACTGGATGCGAAGTTCGTTAACTTTGAATTTTAAAATTATTGTTTACTATAAAAATTATAAGACTACAGTCAACTCTCTTTATAGTTACACATTTGGAACAGTCCATATTTGGTGATTATAAAGAGATGTACCTTGGCCTAACAATTCACTATATTGACCAAAATTGGGTTCTTCAGCATTTTTTACTTGATATTATTCCTTTTAAAGTTCGTCATACAGAAATCAATATGGCAGTAGCAATCACTAATGTTCTTAATGAATTCAACTTAGCAGGTAAAGCGTTAGCACTTACTACAGATAATGAATCTGCGATGTTAGTATGTAGACGGAAATTATTAGAAGAATTTGAAAAAGAATTAAATAATCTTACCTTCAGCCATTATCGTTGTTCAGCACATATACTTAACCTTGCAGTTAAGCAAGGAATGGAAATAGTTGATCAAGAAATAGTAGAAGTGCGACAACTAATGTCAAAAATTAAAAATTCTGTCTTATTATGTGATGAATTACGTGAATTATGTGTTATAGAGAAACTTGAGTATCTTCGGCCAGAAATAGACATATAAATGAGGTGGAACTCCACCTATTACATGCTTCGTAAGTTACAGCGAATGGAAACAGCATTGAAAATGCTTGCAGCTAAACATGATAGTGTGCGTGAATTAATGCCAGATGTTGAAGCATGGACAAAAATAAAGGTAAAAATGAAATAATATTTTTTTTTTTAATAACAAGTTTCTTTTTTTTCGTTATTACTACTTACAAAATTAAATTCTTTTTAATTATTAATCAAAAAAAACAGTGATCGTTTTAGAACCCCTTGAAAGAGCAACAAAAAACCTCTCAGGATCATTGTACCCAACTATTGCTGATGTTCGATTTTACTTTAATGAAATTCATGATCATCTAAAGTATTGTGTGGAAAGGGAGGATGGATTTGGATAATACATGTTAGCTGCTTCAATAAATGAAAAACTTAAAGAATACTGGTTAATTATTGATAATAATACTACCATCTCATCATTCATCAATATTAGACCCCCGAAATAAAATTTCTCTTTTTGAACCAGGTGAACTAACGACAAATGTTATTGCCGCCTTACGTGAACAATTTTCCTTCTATCTTTCCCAAAAGCCACAATCACAAGCTTTCCTTCCTTCTACATCATCAAGAGAATATTTTCGTCAACTAAAAAAATGTCACATAGGAGTAACTGCTGAAACAACACTACCACCCTCACCTAGCCCTTATTTTGCTGAAATAGAAAGATATCTAGCTTTACCATGTGATGAAAATGTGGAAGCGCTTCTTTGGTGGCAAGCCCACTCCACTGAATTTCCGGTACTCTCACTAATGGCAAAAGACTACTTAGCAATACAATCCACAAGTGTAGCCTGTGAACAAGCATTTTCTGTTGCAGGCAATACAATCACCAAAGTTTTAAATCGTTTATGTCCAGAGACTGCAATAGCTTCGTTATGTACAAAAAGTTGGATTGAGAATAATATTGGTGAACAAATTCGGTTGAAGTAATTCAAATATGTTTTATTTGTTAAATGCAGTATTTAATATTACGTTGTATAACATATTAACATATGATCATCATTTATACAAATAAAACGTTTAGTATATTTTTTTGAAGTTTTTTTTTTATTTTTATGATGTTTTTATATTAATTTTAAGGAAAACGATAAAAAAAAAAAGAAATTTTAATATTTTTAATACAGAATTTGTAATAAATGTTATACGTTAAACTGGTTTAGAACTGAGTCTTAGAATCTAGTCCAGAACCAGACTTGGTCAGACACAAGTCCTGGACTAATCATATATGGACTTAGTTTGTAGGTCCATCGGATAGGACTTGCAAGTCTTAGGACTAAAACCGGACTAGGACCGACTTTACACAGGTCGAAAAGTGAAAAATCAGGCATCAATCAGTCACCAATCGGTCACCAATCAGGTACCTGATTGGTGACCGATTGGTGCCTGATTGGCATTTTCGCCAAATACCATCACCAATCAGGCAGTTTACTAACTTTTGATCCAGTGATCAGAAAAAGATCTGTCTCTTATACACATCTAGATGTGTATAAGAGACAGAAATGATGTTGCTATCTCATCCGTCATTTAGTAAAATTACGGATGTTAGTATTAAATTAACATAATAATATTTATTATATCTAAATCTTTTAAATAATTTATTTTTAATATTTTAGAATAAAATTCGTCTATGGGACAAAAGTGTCAAGTATCTTTTTTTACATGCGAGAAGTCCACGTGGTGAAGTTTTTGATGAGTTAATAACAAAAATTTTCAAAATTAAAATACATTCAAATGAAGCGAAAAGCTATCTCGAAAAAACCTGAAAATTTTTTATAGATTTTNCCTGTGTTACCAACCCTACTTTGAGTGAGACTTAGTACCTAAAATGGTGGTATGGAAGGGTACTAGATGGTTAATGTTACCTGTCTAAAGTCCTCCATTAAAGTATATGCTCTCTAAAGGTCGTAAAATAAATTGAGTATCAGTATCATGCAATGGATATAGGATGAGTAGGCGGCATGTACCTAGCTTTAGATCAGCCTAAAATGGCCTGATGTGGGATGTCTTCTATAGTGGTGCTGTTACCTGAGGAATTAAGTACTCGGTATAATGGTTGCCCAGTGAAAATGATAGGACACAAACCTGAGATTAGTCTCATAAGAGGCAATGGGTGGTCTGGCCATAAAACACTAGCAAAGGAAAAGGATAAAACTACCACCATTCGATTCGTCTCAGTGAGACGATTCTAACAAACTATGATACATCTTTGTATGATTATTAGATGCCAAGTTATTTAATATATTCTTTATATAACTGTAATTATAAATAGTTCTTTTTAATATAAGATTTTTGAGGATAGGTGTGATAGTGACTATAGATAGATCGTGACTATATAGGATAGATTTTAATAATAAAGTGTTTGAACATTCAACTGATGTGACTATATAGTAGAATGTGACTATAACAGGTGTGACTATAGAGGGAGTTGACTGTATTTAATACCAAATTTTGAATAACTCTGTCAATATTGATGCTACAAATATGAAAATACATATCATTGGAATCCTCTCGATGAGTTAAATCCAACCATGTAAAGATCATAAAAATCGAATCACTGGATGCGGAGTTCGTTAACTTTGAATTTTAATATTATTGTTTACTATAAAATCATAACTATGACGTAATTTTGACTATTTCAACTTTTGGGAGGGCTTAAGTCAAAATTATTTCAACCATTTTGACCATTTCAGAAGTCAAAATTAACTAATTTTAGTTTCATGTATACCTGGATTACAGGGTCAAACCTCCGATTTTTGCAAGATACTCAGGATATTGTGACCCGCTATATATAGTAATTATACATTTTTATTATTTTAAATTAACTAATAATTTAAATTTAATAAGATTTAATTTCTTTAAATATTTTTTAAATTAATTAAATACAAATAAATTATTATTTCTTAAACAGTAAGTCATTGCAGGCAAATTTGCCTGCAATTTTCAGTTCTCATCTAATTTTATAAAAAACAAAGTTATTTTAATAAAATTTTTTTTTGCAAAGAGCTTAAATCTTAATTTATGTGACAAAAATTATTATTTGTTAATTTCATATTATAAAATTGAAGATTAACAATTGGTCAAAAGTTGTATTTTTTAGATGACAAAAAACTTTGAAAAATTTTGCATTCAACTTTAATGATTTTATTGGAATTTGATTGTAGCTATACAGTCAACTCTCTTTATAGTCAGTAGTCACACATTTGGGACAGTCCATATTTGGTAATTATAAAGAGATGTGACTATATAAAAAATTTCTTATATTAGTATATCATAATTCTGGCTAAAAATTAATATAATTTTAGCCAAACTTATACTTAAAACTTTATTGTATCATAACTCCGCCAATATTAATCGTAGAGAGATGATCATACCGCCATTCGATTCGTCGTGATGAGACGGTTCTAATGGTTTAAAATACATCGAAATCCAATCACTAGATTAATTTTCAAAATTAAAAAAATATTAATGGTTTTTGTGTAATAACTCTGCCAATATTGATTCTAAAGAGACGATCTTACTACCATTCGATTCGTCTTGATGCGACGAATCTAATGGTATAAAATACATCGAAATCCAATCACTAGATCAATTTCTAAAATTAAAAAATATTAAATGGTTTTTAAGTAGTAATTCCGTCAATATTGATCATAGAGAGATGATCTTACCACCACTCGATTCGTCTTGATAAGGCGATTCCAACGAGCTATTAATCGTCTTTTTACAATAACTAGGTACCGAAAAATTTAGCAAAATGTTAAATGGCGCAGTAAACATAATCAAGAAATATAATAATGCTGATGCTTAACATTTTGTTGAATAACTCATCAGCCAGTGATCGTAAAAGGATAAAACTAAAACTAAAAAAAAACTAAAAAACTCTCTCCTGTTCTGCTCACTTGACAATATTTACGAAAATAATAAAAAATTTTTTTGAAGTTTTTTATTACTTTTTCTTTTATTTTTCTTTATTTTAAAAAGCTACAACACTTTACAAAATGATTAAAGACAACAAAAAGAAAAACAAAAAGTCTGGAAACGATACTACTAATGATACTGGGCGAAACTGTTTTTTCAAATCTGAAATGTTTAGGATTTTTTTGTAAGTTACTAAACTTTTTCCAAAACCTAAACTAATTCCGAAACTTAATCTTTTATCTGAAATGATAAAACCAATTTTGGTTAAAACATAACTAATTGTAATACAATAAACACATGATAATCATAAATTTTATCATTGTTACTTATAAAAAAAGTAACTCTTTAAAGAATGTAATATTTATTATTTATTAATACACAAAAAAAAAATCTTGACTGGATTATTTTTCTAACTACAACTTACAACATATCTTCATTATCCAGTAAATATTTATTAGTTAATTCTTCAATATTATACCCATCAGTTTTCACTTCCAAATTATCGTTTTCATCATTTTCATTGGAACTATCATCATTACTGTAATTATCATCAACACTACGTACTGCTATCAATTTCGCTATTACTTGCACTTATATCACTATTTTCATTATCTAATTCCCTTACTGTTTTCTTTAAATCAATAAATTTCTCAATTATTAAAACTTGAACTTCATGATTGGGAATTTTTAAAGGCTCCAAAATTGTTTCATTTTCATGAGTTTCATCCACATTTTCAAACTGTAAAAATATTGAATCATTAACTATTTCATGTAATTTATCTACTATGTATTTTTGGCTAGCATAAACAAGCTCAGCTTTTATATTTGATATATAAAAATGAATGAATCTTCGCCATAGCCTCAACTCTTAAAAGTCCTAAATGTTATTTTCACTTACCATACAACTAACCTAAAGTAAAAAAAACTCTTTTGCATCCTGCACTATGTGGAGTAATAGAAGATATCATTATGGCCAAATTACAAAGATGATCATATTTGTTTTTAATTGAAAGCCACCAACTCATTGGTATTTCAAGTTGTCTATCAAATGTTTGGTCATATGGCTCACGTTGCAACTTGCAATTCATAGTTACGTATTTATGCTAAGAGACGGTCATATGATCTTTTATTCCCTCCATTATTTTACCAAATTTGTGCTGCAATGGTAGTTATAATTTTCCAATATTCTATTTTTAATCCAGTTTCTATTAAAAATATTAAAAGATTAGATTATATTTTTACATTATATTCAAAAAAAAATTAGAGAATTATAAGATTATACTAATCATGATAATCCGGATGTAAGAAGTATGCAAGTATATATAATTTTGAATCAAAATTATCCCAACGTTTATTAAATGCTTTGATATAATGCTAATGAAATTCCATCATTCCTTAAGAAGGTAATTTTTTAATAGCACTTACTAATAAAATTAATTATATGATGAAACAGTCTGAGAGATTAGTGTTTACACTTTCAAGTAAAGTAATTGCAGTTTTAATTGGCTTCAAAATCTCTGTTAATTTGTTAACATTTCCAAAGAATTCTGAGCTTCAGATATGTTTTTTAACAGCTTTACTTGTAATGTCGTTAGGATTATTTAATAAACCCTACAATTATTTATAGTATTAAAAATTTAAATTTTAAATTTTAATTTGTAAAATATAATTTGTAAAATAAGATGAACAATAAATACAACTTACAGTTTCTAAAGCTGCTTGTAAACGCAAAACTGAACTGGTAGTTTCGTATATAGAAGTCCACTTAGTCTCGCAATATGTTTTAAGACTTTCACCTTTATCAGCTAATAAACGTCCTTCCATATGAGATTTTTTGAAAAATGATGCAATTTGATTGCAACTTTTAATTGTTTGTCTAGCAAAATCATGATCTAAATTTAATAAAATTAGAGAAGTTGTGATTAGAAATTGTAAATTATGATATTGTTTGAACTTTAAAGCATACCTATAATATCTTTAGTTATCAAGTTAACAAAATGAGCAATATATCAAATGTTGATAATATTTGGATATTGACTTGAAATTATCTCTCGTGTTTTAATACAATTAGCAGCATTATCTGTAACTAATGCTGTAATTTTTTTAGGACTAATTTTTTCTATAACATCGGCAATTCCATTTGCAAGAAATTTCCTGTATGATGATCACTAAAGTAATCGTGAAGGGCATAAAAATATTGTTCTCGATCAGGTGTTAGAATTATGTAATTATAGATAGAGGCACCAGTTGGGCTTATCCACCCATCAAGAGCTTTAAAGTTTAAAAAGTTAAATTATAAAAATATATTAATTATTAAACTAAAAAAAAAATAATTAAAATTTATCTTACCAAGCGTTAAATTGTTGGAATTCTTGATAATGACATCAACTTTTTTATTGATCCTTAATGTTTCTTTGCTTAAAAGTCTATCGCTAAGTAATTCATCTGTAGACGGTTCATATTCTGGTCTTATTTCATTAAGGAATTCAATAAAGAATGGATTCTGAATTACTAAGAAAAGAATGCCACAATACACAAATGTGCGCAAAAGGGTGTGAGTAATAGAGGCTATTTTTGAAGAGGGTAAGGTGGTTGGCTCACACCATTCAGTTATTTTACGCTGATCCAAATTTTAGGTCTTTCTTTTTTTATTATTATCTGATGGAGAAGCATTCTCATTTCCAAAATTTCATGCAGAGACTACACCCAAGTAAAAAGAACGAATATACTTTGAAACATCTTTACAATTGTTTGCCAAATGTGCTTCTAACTCATTTGAAGTACCATGAGACCAGTATTTTGTACAATAAGTGCATTTTGCTGAAAAATGTCCAGCAGACTTGAGAGGTGTTTTCTCGAAATGCTTCCATACTTCACTTTAAGGTTGACTATCTAGTTTTCTTTTTTTCTCATTAGACATATTGACTTTAAAGTTTAAATTTTCAATGACTTGGTTTACTTTGTCTGCTTGTCAGTTTGTTGAGACTTGAGAAGCTTTTTTCTATAATATAACATGTATGACATATTCATCACAGAATATTTATATTCTTATTATTACATAATATATTGATTATATTCATTAGTTATTACATTGTATATTTGGAGTACTAAAGAAATTTTTATTTTGAACTTTGATTATCTATGCGGATCTCTGATGAAATGTGAATCATATAATAAACTATATTTAGTTTCATCATGTGATAATTTCGTCAAATGATGAAACATTTTGGAATTTCAGAAATTAAGTAGAATGACGAAATATATTTCAGTTTCGTCATATGCTAAAGGTTTCAGTTTTGCCCGGTATCATTAATGCTAGCAATTAAAAATCAATTATACTGAAAGTATATTCTAAATACAACTAATTAAATTAAAAAAAAAAGCCATGATTTCATTTTTTTAATATACAAATGTCATAAAAAAAATTTGTTTATTCTAATATAAATTATAAAGTCAAAAATTAACTTTCAGTTGTGTATTGATCTTAGTAAAAATATTTGCTTATTTTAAGCTAAAATCTTGCTCATCATCTCTGACTTTTATATGTATTTTTTGGGATCCTATGTTACTGGTGCAAAAATGAGCAAATTATGAGAATTGATAAAATAATTTCGCCAGGATGGACAATATAAATAAATGGTTTGTTACTCAAGATTTGGCCAAGTTTCGTGAAAATGCACATGAATAGCGACATTGTAGCTCTAATGCTTTACAAAAACATTTTACGAAAAATACTGGAGTTAGATGGTCAGAATTATTGCGATTGTCATACTTTGACAGGACCCCGCTTACTTCTAATAAAGGTCTCCGGGCAAAATTTCAGATTTACTAGTAATTTTACCAACCTTTCTTATCTCATAATTTTACCATATATATATAGTGACCTTTTAAAATTATATTAAATTTTACCTTAGATTTTCAGAGACCTAAATTTTTTTAAATATTAAATAAACAAAATATTTTATAATCATTACAATAAATTTTAAAAATTTTTTATTTTTACTAAGTTTAATTCTTATTCTTTAAAGATAAATAACTTTTATTAGTAAAAAAAGTACTTTGAATTACAAAAATACTATAAAAAAAATCTTAAAGACACACATCTTTAACTTTACTTCGAAACTATTATTCA